GTCACAGACCTACACTCGCGAATTACTGGCTCCACCATGTTATCTCTGAGCTAGATATAATTAAAGAATGAGCAGGTGGTGAAGGAACCCTGAGCTAATGTTGATGTCTCCACTTGATTGTGGTCCTAGAAAAGGAAGTTTTCCAGGAATGGGGAATGAAATGCCTGGAGGGGCTTTAATGCACCAGCACAGCCATGTGTTGCACCTGCCTTGGATCCCACTTAGAGGGGATCCCAAACTTAGAGGGTTCCCAAAGCAATCCCTCCTCTTTCTACCCTTCTATGCTGGGAAGGGGTCAGGGAGTTGGAGATGCTGTGGAGGATGTGGGGAGGGGCCTGGAGAACCTCCTCTGGGGCCGCTGCCCCTCCTCAGCCTGCAGAACTGGCCAGCCCTCATAGCCCCTAGCACATTTATCATGGCCAGGAAGAAAAAGCCTCTCTTGATCCTTAAGGAATCCTCAGGCTCTGGGATTCCTAAGGCAGCCACAGTTTGCAGCAGGTCTGGCAAGATGTCACTGCTCCATGTTATAGAGAAATGCCTGAACAATATGAAGCATTTGGTTGTTAGCTTCCTGATTGATTTTTTTATTTTAATTCTCTAAGAACCAGAAGCTCTTGAGGAGGTGGTACAGGCCAATCCTTCCTGCTTCCTGCAGCAGAGAATGGGATTATCTACTGGCAAAACATCTTTCTCCCTTTGCAGGAGCTGACTCTGCAGATGAATTTGCTGGAGCTGATTCGGAAGCTGCAGCAGAAGGAAGCTGAGGCGGAGAAGACTTTTTACTGAAAGAGCAAATCTGCTGTTCACCTCCCAGAGTTTTTCCTCTGACTTCCCTCTACAGACCGTCCATGCATTTGCTTTGTATTGTGTCAGGAAGAGGCTACAGGAGTAGAAGAAATTGCTGAGGCACTTAGATTAGAGCTGGGGCAGGCAGATCCCAGCACAGGGGGTGGTTGGGAGCCTGGGGATGGCTCTCTGATCCTCAGAGCAGGGTCAGCTGCATCTGGCTCAGCTGGGAGCTGATGACTGTGGTCACCTGCCAGGAATGTCCTGCAGTGATGCTGAGGCCATCACTGAGCCAAGGCTGAGCTGAGCGCTGAGGCAGCACATGGAGTCCTGTTGTATGAGTGCTGCTCGCTGCTGTCACCCTGTGTTTAGATGATACAACGGGGGGGGGGAAACAATTCCAAGGGTGCTTCTGTGTGTTGTTGAGGCAGAAACAACCTCTTAGGCAGACCCTTCCCAGAGTTTCCTCCAGGCCGGTACTAGCATTACCTGTATTATTTTATCTGTGTGCTGGCCAGTATCTGTTCTAAAGGAGAATTTCAGGCCTCAGCCCAAAGTTACTGGACTGGTGTTTGCAGTGTTCCCACTGACTGAGAAAGCAGAGCTCTTGCTTTGTTCTTTTAAACGAGTTTACAAATTAAAAGAAATAAAACATTCCCCTTCTGAGGTTGCAGCTTTCTGAATGCCAGTGGTTGTATTTGTCCTGTCCTCAGCTGATGAGTGTGGGGCTTGTGGTACCTTAGATGGAAGCTGGGGAGGAACTCAGAGTATTTCTGACATCTTTCAGGGCGTTGGAAGAACTTGTGGGTGGCCTTATGGTGGGGAGAGCTAGTGCTGCAGGAGACAAACACAAGATCAGAGCTACAAGGACCAAGGAGGCTTTTGGAAATTCAGGGCTGAGGCCCCGTCCCACTTCCGTAATGTGTGGGTTCCTTCCCCACAGGGATGATGCTGTTGTGGCTCAGCAGCTGGAGACAAGACCTACTGCTTGTGTGGAGTCTTCACTTCCTGGATGAAAGTCCCCATCTGGAAAGCAGGCTGGTATGGGATCTGCACCACTACAGGGTCCCCACAAGAGCTCCTGGAACTGTTGTTGCCACTGGACCCTCAGGTGGGAGCTCTGTGCTACACTGCTGAGAAATGGTGAGGGGCAAGGTGGGCAACATTCCCCTCTGGAGATGCCTTCATCCTCCTGGGAGGATGCAGTGTAGCCACTGGTGCAGACTGGGTGAAGTCAGCATCTGTGCTCAGGTTTGGCAAGGAAATTGTTTCCTAAGGTAAGGATAGGAAAGGCGGGGGTGAACAATGGGTTCCATGGCAGGAAAGGATGCCCAAGTCCTGGGGGTCACACTGCCTCCCAGAAGCTTCCCTTTCTGCACAAGCTCTGGAATGGCTGGAGCAGCAGCAGATGGGGGTGTGGCTGGAGGAGCTGGGATCGAGGTTACTGCCTGTGGCTTCAGCTCCACCCTGCTGCCCTGTGAGGTGAGGAATGGAGTCCACCTTGGTCCAGAGCCCCTGTGATCCAGGATTGCTGTCTCCAGAGCTGTGCCAGGGACCACAGGGGCTGTTCGGGCACTGCCATGACAACAGCAGCTCTCATGCTTCCTGCTTCTGCCATCTGTTTGCAGATGGCTCTGCCAGGCAGCTGATCTGATCCAAGCTGAAATTTTCCATGCCTGTGATCAGGCTGGGTTTCAGAAAGGTCAAGGTGGAGAGCTGCAGGGGGTTAGATGTGAGTAACTGATGGGAAAGGTTATCCTAAGGGAGCAAAGGCCCTTGGATGGCTTGTGATCAGATCAGCAGGATTTCAGCAGAGGAACACTTGCTCAGCCCCTGAAGCTGGACCATACAGCGTGGAGGATACTGGTATTTTTCCAAGCGTCATTGTGTCACCAGAGGGTGACACCATCTCACAGCATTGCTGTGCAGTGCCCCAGCCACTGCAGCTGTGGTAGTGCTGGTAACACAGGGCAGACCTGGTGAAAGTGACCCAAGGGGACTGGAAGTTCTGCTGGGCTTTAGCTGTCTCAGCTCCTTGGTTCAGTGACCTGTGCAGCTCCTGAACTCTCAACTGGTGTCCCAGGAACATGTGTTTGGCTTCAGCCATCCACAGACCTGGACTGAAAGTGCCTGCCCAGAGCTCCATGTGTGCAGAAGTGACGTGGAGAGGGGATACAACCTGAGGATCAAGTTCCCTGTTCAGGTGCAAGGTGACTAACATGAAAGCTGTGGCTCCATGCCAGTCCCAAATTCACCCAGGAGCTGGTTGAAGGTGAGTGATGGGTGGCAGGAAGGGACAAGTTCTGTTTATTCCTTCCTTTTCCTATAGTTTGGGCTGTTGAAGAAGAGCAAGGTCCCCTCCACATAAGGAGGTCGATCCAGTGTGGATAAAGGTGAATGTGTTCAGGTGGGACCCCTCAAGTGTTGCACTGTGGGCTCTGAGTTGTGGGTGCAACTTGAGGGTGACAGTTGGGGTGATGACTGATGGGTCCATGAAAATGTCAGCTTAAGTGCCCAGGAGTCATCAAAAAATTAGATGAGACATGAGAAGGGGATCAGAGAAGAAAATGAGAAACATGTTGCTGCTGTGAGCTACCTAAACGCAAATCCCTTCACCCTGACAAAGGTATGGTAGGGAAGGAACAAGCTGTGCAAAGGCCTTGGGGACACCAGGGATCTGGAAGACCTTCCAGCTGAGCTGGAGTCCTTTATCTTTGACAAAGGGCACAAGAAGGGGCAGGGTGGAGATAAAACTGACTGACATGTGAGGGACTTCATGTAGAAATACAGGAGCATTGCAGGGCATGTGTAACAGGCAGGTTTGGGTAGGACGGGTGACTGCTTGGGAAACTCCTGCCCCAGGGGGCGAGAGAGGCGGAAGGTTTGTGGTGGTTCAAGAGGAGGTGAAGCACTTCTGGAAAACAAACTTTTTAACTTAGAGATGGATAGAGGTGATTCCCCTTCACTGCCCTGCAGAGCTAGGTGGAAGCACCACAGGCGTTTGCTCAGGTTTTGTGCTCCTGGCAAGGCAGGAGGACTGTGAGCTGGAGGGGCCTGCTCAGGAGCTCCCCTTCCTGCAGCTTTCCCCACACCTCAGTTTCTCCATGACAAACACCTGAGCACAGAGGATGTGCCTGCCCTTCAGGCTCAAGAAAAGAGTGAGTAGAGGAAAAGGAGCAGGGTCTCAGCCCTTTGCTCCATTCAGAACTGCATCCAGTGGATGGGATTTGGGATAACTGCTCCATCACAGAATCACAGATTAGTTTGAGTTAGATGAGACCTTGGATTAGAAGCTCATGAGCAGGAACACTCATCCCAGGTTGCTCCAAGCCCCGTCTAACCTGGCCTTGGACACTTCCAGGGATCCAGGGGTAGCCACAGCCTCACCACCCTCATAGCCGAGAATTCCTTCCCAATATCCCACTTAAGATTGCTTTGTGTCAGTGGGAAGCCATTGTCCCTTGTCATTCCAGGTCCTTGTCCCAAGTCCCTCTCCAGCTCTCTTGGTACCCTTTTAGACCCTGGAAGGGGCTCTAAGGTCTTCCTGGAGCCTTCTGTTCTCCAGGCTGAACACCCTCAGCTCTCCCAGCCTGTCTCCAGACCAGCCCAGGGCTCCAGCTTTTGAGTATCTCCATGATCACCCTGTATCCCGTTTCCATGCGCGCACACTCCCGGGGGGATGCTGACCCCGGGGTCGTGGGGACCCCCCCGTCTGCCCCTCCCAGGGGCTGCACGTGCAGCCCCGGAACGCCCCAACCTCTGCTCCCCGCTCCCAGGAGACAGCCCTAGAGCTGGGGCCCGGGGGCTCGCCCGCCTCCGCCCGGCCCCCGCCCTTCCGCCGAGCCCGGGAGGCGGAGCCGGGCGGCGGCGGCGCCGCGGAGCAGGTGAGGCCAGGGCCGGTGCGGGGCCCCCTTGCCACCCTCGCAGGTGAGCGACAACCCCTGGGGCCGGGAGCCGGGCTGGGACCGGCGCTGTTGGGAGCGTCCCGGGGGAGCGCGGCCGGGATTGGGGCCGGGGCTCGGCGCCGCCCGGAACCGGCATCGTGGCGGGGCTGAGCAGGGGCGAAACCATCGCCTCTCCCCGCCCAGGATGAATCCGGAATCCCCACACACCCCCTCGTCGGCCCGGGGGTCCCCACCCTCAGCCACCCTCCGAACTCTAGGGATGCTCCGCGTCCTCCCAGCTGCGCCTGTTGCGTTTGTTGGGATTGAGGACCCCGGTACTGCCAACGCCTCCAAACGCGGGGACTTGGATGTGCAGGGATGCGAGTCTCAGCCAGCACGGATTGTGCACGTTGTCCTTATGGGCCGTCATCGGCCCTGTCATTCCGTCATCTCCCTGTGGGCTTTCCAGGACCTTTTGGCCTCTGAGAGGTGGACCCTGGAACAGGGCTGTACCAGCCCTCCGAGCAGAACGTGTTGTTCATGTAGGTGTAGGGCTTCTGGCACAGGAAGGAGGGCAACTGGGAGGGGAGAGTGTCCCCAGAGTCACCAATCACCCCATGGAGCAGCTGGGAAGCAGCACTTGAAGGTCCCTAGAGCTGTGTCCTTCCCCTGTCATGGTGGCAGCTGCCAGCATGGCTGGTCCCTGGTGCTGGCTGTTTCTTGGTCGGGCTGGGGACTCTCATGGGAGCTGCTCTGGAGTTCTGCTGCAGCCTCTGCATGATGTCTGAGCTTTCCCTGGGGAAGCAGAAGGATCCTGGAGCTGGCAGATACCACATGCCCCTGTGGTGGGGTCCTGGCACAGCAGGGTGAAGTTCAGGTAGGTGTTGGATAAGGTGGAGAGGAAGCAGCAAGGAAACCTTCATCAGGGCCAGAGCAGACTAGTTTGGGCTTTAACGGGGAGATGCTGCCCTGGGAGTGCTGTGGTTTGCCTGGCACACTGGCACATGTCCCTGTCCTTTGCCACCCCTGGAGGAGGACACACTCTGTGCTGAGCTCTATGCTGGTTGAGGAGCCAGAGACACCTGGAATGTGCCCTAGTGGCTTTTCCACCCTGTCCCCCTGATACCTCAGTGCCAGAGGAATATTCACCCTTCCCTGCCCCTCTACCAGGTCTCCAGGCAGGGTCTCACGGCCGAAGACCCCTCACTCTGCTGAGGGCAGGGCCCACTGCCTCCAGGATGGCGAGATGGCTGCCCCGCTCCACTGACCTGACCCGCTTCTGCCAGAAGCTCAACCGGGTGAAGACTCTGGAGGATGACATGATGGAGACATCCTTTAACAGATGCCTTTCCACCATCGACTTGACGCTACTAGGCATTGGGGGCATGGTGGGCTCCGGGCTGTATGTCCTCACAGGCACAGTGGCCAAGGAGATTGCTGGCCCCGCCGTCATCATCTCCTTCATCATCGCTGGCTTTGCCTCACTCCTGGCTGCTCTCTGCTATGCTGAGTTTGGAGCCCGCGTGCCCAAGACAGGCTCTGCCTACATGTTCACCTATGTGTCCGTGGGTGAAATCTGGGCTTTCCTCATTGGCTGGAATGTGTTGCTGGAGTACATGATCGGGGGCGCTGCGGTAGCCAGGGCCTGGAGTGGCTATCTGGACTCCATCTTTAACCACAAGATCAAGAACTTCACCGAGACCCATGTGGGTGCCTGGCAGGTGCCGTTCCTGGCCCACTATCCAGACTTCCTGGCAGCTGCCATCCTGCTGGTAGCCACTGCCTTCATCTCCTTTGGGGCCAAAGTGTCCTCCTGGCTCAACCACGTCTTCTCAGCCATCAGCATGGGCGTCATCCTCTTCATCCTCATTATGGGCTTTGTCCTCGCACAACCCAAGAACTGGAGCACCCAGGAGGGTGGCTTTGCCCCATATGGGCTGTCGGGCATCATGGCTGGCACAGCTACCTGCTTTTACGCCTTTGTGGGCTTTGATGTCATTGCAGCCTCCAGCGAAGAGGCCAGGAACCCACAGAGGGCTGTCCCCAGGGCCATCGCTTTCTCCTTGGGGCTGGCCACCGGCGCCTACATCCTGGTGTCAGTTGTGCTGACGCTGATGGTGCCCTGGCACACACTGGACCCTGACTCTGCCCTGGCTGATGCGTTCTACAGGAGGGGCTACGCCTGGGCAGGGTTTCTGGTGGCTGCTGGCTCCATCTGTGGTGAGTACAGGCAGCGGTGGGAGGGAACTGCCCACCCTCCCTGCCTTGGTGGCTGGGAACAATCCCTAGTTTGGGTTTGGGTCTGATAGTCTTCCTTCTTCTACCTGTCCTTCAGCAATGAACACAGTTCTGTTGAGCAATCTCTTCTCCCTGCCACGCATCGTCTATGCCATGGCCGAGGATGGGCTCTTCTTTCAGATCTTCTCCAGAGTCCACCCCCGCACACAGGTGCCCGTCGTCGGCATCGTGGTCTTCGGGCTGCTTATGGCCCTGCTGGCCCTAGTCTTTGACCTAGAGGCCCTGGTGCAGTTCCTGTCCATCGGCACACTGCTGGCCTACACCTTCGTGGCCGCCAGCATCATTGTCCTGCGCTTCCAGCAGCAGAAAGGGGATGTCCCTGCACCAGTGCCCAGCAGCCGGCCCAACCCAGAGCCCCGTGAAGGCCCATCCGGGGGTGAGCTGAAGGAGTACGAGTCCTTCTCTGACAAGCTGCAGCTGGTGGACGGGGACAAGAGCAAAGAGCAGCGGGAGCCAGGGCAGCTGAAGGCAGCATTTGAGCCCTACCTGGAGTTCCTCAGCGACTTCTACCCAGGTGAGGTGGTCACGGTGGCCGTGGTGACCCTGATGGTGTCTGCCATCTGCCTCTGCTCCATCTTAGTGTTTGGCAACACCCACCTCCACCTGCCCACCTGGAGCTACTCCTTGCTGCTGGTCCTCTTCAGTCTGGGCTTCCTGCTCAGCCTCCTCCTCATCTGGGCACACGAGCAGCAGCACAGCACCCAGACCTTCCAGGTATGCCCAGGGTCCAGGCAGGGAATCCCTCTGCAGGGGGGAGGGGAGGTGGGAGCAGCTGTCATGGTCCCGCAGGGCTTCCAGACACAGCCCTTTGTTGAAAGTGCCACAACTGCTGGAGGAAGAGGAGGGAGGGGAGGCGGAAGAAGGTGTTTGTGGACACTGGGTGTGAGGAGTGTTGGTGCCTCTGCTGTTACTCTGTATGACTGCTGGTCCCCAGGAACGGACATCCTCAGCAGTTCTGTGTCCATCCCATGGGATGTTTCCCCATCCTATGGGACCCGGGGATTGCTCATGTCCACCTTGGGCTCCCTTCTCTGCATCACCACAATTCCTCTGCTCCTCTCCTGCCTCAGCTTCTTACTTTGGCTGCCCTTCAGCTATGTGATGGAGCTCATTTTTCCAAACCACTTCTATGCCTCTTGTGCTTCCCCTCTCCTGTTTACAGCGCACCTGAGCCCTGATGTAGTCAGCGCAGCTTCATAACACCAGTGGTGATACCACTTCCCTGCCATGCCTCTGCCCTGGCTCCTCCAGCAGGGACCACAGTGGCTCAAGATCATGCCAGGAGCTTGTTTGGTCCTCATGATGATGCCTGTGCCTGGCTCCCAGCTCCTGGCTCCATTGTTCCTTTTCCTTAAAAAAAAAAAGTCCCACTTCTAGAATTCCCAAGGTGACAGTCCCTTTGTCCCACACATTTGCCATTGCTGTCTTTTGTCTCTATGATTTTAAAGATGGAGAATGTGGTCCTGCGGGTCTCACTCCCGCCAGCTCCTTTTCTTCTGCAGATTCCCCTGGTACCCCTATCCCCCGCACTGAGCATCATCCTCAACATCTACCTGATGCTGAAACTCAGCTACATGACGTGGCTCCGCTTCGCCATCTGGCTCCTATTAGGTGAGTGCTCCCACAGCTGCTCGGGGAAGGGGGAGCAGGGTTTGTCTTGCCACTCTCCAGCTGCCTTGGCAGCTCCTGTCCCCGCCTTATGGGTCTATAAAGCGAATCATGCCCCTTTTTGCCTCCGATTCCCCTTTGGAAATGCAAGCCGAGGTCTCCCAGCATCTCCTGAGCCTCTCTGTTTCCCAGAGTGTTACAGCTTGTTCCTGTTAAAGTTCAGATCCTCCTTAAAGCCCTGGGCCAGAACCACCCCTTGCTCCTGAGGCAGCTCCCTGGGGCTCAGGAAGTCCTTCCCTTTCCCAGGGACTGAGGGTGCTCCGCTTGCTCTTAAGATGCTGCAGGACCCTTTTCCCCCTGCAAGCAGCTCTGTTAAGCCCCCACGGTGCTTTAGCTTTTTGCTCCACCGGGTGGCTGGCCACATGTGTGCCACATTCCGCTGTGATGCCAGCCATGATGGTGCCAGCAGCCAGGATGTGCTGGAGCCCCTACTGTCCCTGTCCCCGCTGCAGGCCTGCTCGTCTATTTTGGCTATGGCATTTGGCACAGCAAGGAGAACCTGCGGGAACCACGGCCCCAGTGTGTCAGCGCCCGCTACGTGGTGTTCCCTGGTGGCAGCCTGGAGGAGAGGGTGCAGGCAGTCCAGCCCAGCTCCCAGCCTGCCACCGGGCTGCCAGACACCGACACCGATGACTGCAAGAGATGACACCCCTGGCAACGGGGGCACCTGGAGATGGGAGCATCGGAATCTCCTTCCGCAGTGAGGCCGGAGACCCATCCCCCTCCTCCTGGTCCCTCTGACAGCAGAGCCACTGAGGCTGCTCTGGGCGTGGGGCTCCACCTGGAGAGGATGAGGATGCTCACCCTTCCCCGCATGCTTCTGACAGAGTGTGGAAGCGCCTGCTGCCTCCCTCCCCATCCCCTGCACTCGGGAGCTGGGTCGCAGCCTGGTGCCTGCCCTGCTCATGAGGAGCCATGGCCTTGTCACCTCTCCCTGGGCACATCCTGCACTGTGCAGCACATCTCCTGTCTGCCAGCACATCCGTGCAGCCGGGAATGCAGACGTTCCCCAGGGACCAGGACAGGCAGCCCCCTTGCCTCCTGCAGTCCCCTTCGGAAGGAGGCAGGAGCCAATCATGCATCCATCCCCACAGGCACCCCTGCCATCCCTATCCCCAGAGCTGCTCTCCTCAAAGACTGGGGCTGAGGGAGCTGAGGAGTAGCTGGAGACATGATATAGAGAAGGGATATGGCCAGAGTGTGGCTGGGCAGGCACCCCAGGAAAGCCAGTGAAGGCTGGCACAGCAAAAGCCCAGCTGCATCTTCCCAGCCCAGGGAGTTGGCTGTCTGAGGGGTGGTCTGGGGCTATGCCTGCTGGAAGATAATGCCATTGCCAGGCTCTTGCCCCAGTCCTGAGCGGGGTAGGGGTGCTCAGGACCCGAGGTACATTGCCTTGTCCTTGGAGGTCCCCAGCGGCATCCCTGGGCTGGCCTGCCTGGAGCTGGCTCCCCACTGCTCCTGCACCCCAGCAGCACCACTTGCCCCAGCATGGAGACTTAGCCCCCCATGATGCCTCTTCCAGGCTCTTTGGGACAGGCTCAGCAGGTGCTTTTCAGTATTGCCCCCTCCCCAGCAATCATCCCCATACTCTGGGGTTACCCTCTGCAGCTCACACCCAGCTGCAAGGGTGTAATAGGGGGGTCCCCAGCAGCACTGCTGCAGCCATCCCTGGCTGTTTTGCCCATGGGCAGCCTAACGTGGAAGGGAAGAGAGTTTCAGCATGTTTTGGAAGTCAGTCAAGCATGAGTCCCTGGGGGCCCTGGAGAGGCTGTGGGGACCCTCAGTAGGATGCACTGGCTCCGGTGAACCCCTCTGTCTGCCAGCACTGCTCCGTGTCCTGCCTCGTCCCCGCGCTGCCGCCGCCGGAGCTGTGGCCCTGCTTGGCACCTCTGTGTCGTGGCTTGTGAGCAATGGGCTGATGTGGTCATCCTCATAAACACTGTTTTGGAGATGGCTCTGGCTAGTTGTGATCTCTGTGTCCCCAAGACTCAAGGTGGGAAGCTGCTCCCCAGTCAATGCTACCCACTGCCACCCTGCTGCCACCGGGGTTCCAGTCATGAGGACAAGCTCCAGCCAGACCCACAGAAACCAGGACCCCACAGGGCTGGGATAGGAGGGACTTGAGCCTTACAGTACACAAATACCCTGATACTGACCCAGACGGGACTGAGCCCCACTGTGAGCAGCGAGGATGGTGCTGAGCCAGCACCAGGGCAGGGTCACTAAAACTGCCCCAAGGTTATGAGCCAAATCATGTGAGAACTTGTGCAGTTAATGGGACTTTAATTATAACCCACAATTATCCCCATCCCCACACTGCTGTTCTCTAAGGAAATGTCCTTCCTGAGATAACAGAGTCCTTCTTCACTAAAAAGCAAGTGTCCAACAGGCACCCAGGGAGGCACCGGCTGAACCCTCCTTAGTGACTCAGCTTTAATCTCGGTAATAAATCCATTGTCAGCAAGACAAAGGTGAGTAAAAAGATCCACAGAGACACAGGAGGAGAAGAGAGCCCAGCGCAGGGCTGGGGAAGGGCAGGAAAGTCCTCACAGAGGGGATGGACTGATGGTGACTTTTATGTTCCTCTGTAGAGGAAAGTCAATGGCAGTCACATCACTCTGCTCTCCTAGCAGGAGTCTCAATCAGCCTTTTAAGCTGCAAAAGACCAAGGAGTTATTGAATGAGCCTTGTAACCATTGATATTTACTCTATTTAAAAACATTCATTTCTAAAAATGCACAGAAATCCCTGTTAGGCTTTGGCACACAAAGCACAGAGCAGGGGGTGCTGGGGATGCAGCCAGCAGGGTATTAAAGGATTGGAGTGTAATTCTCCAGCACCTGGGATGCCAGTGGGGCCTCTCAAGCACACTTGCGGGGGTTTTTTTTAAACAGGATTACAAAATTGGTCAGTTCATATCATATACTATCCTACAGCAGTAATATACTCTGCACAGAACATGTATTAACTGATTTTTAATTGACTACTCATTAATGCACACAGAAAAAAAAGGGGATGGCAGCAGCCACTGGCACCCAGACAGCCCTTCTACAGCAATTTGTAGACTGCAATTTGTAAACTGTAATAGCAGAGAAAAAAAATCCAAACTAAATAGCATCAGCAGGGCTTTAAGATGGCAGCCTGTAATTGTAAGAGAAAACACTAGCTGCTCCATCCATACCCTTGATTCCAAACAGATGAAATGTAAAATGAAACCATTCCCATGTGCAACTCCCAGAACCCTGTTTCATGGAGCTCCAGGAGCAGCCGCTTGCTGCTTCCCTGTGGCTGACCATACACTTGTTTTCCAGAGCAGTATCCTTCTCCAAATTAGCTTAAAAATATAAATAAAATCCTCTATTTTCTGGGAGCCATGGCAATGGTGTAATCAGGTTGCAGGAAATCAATCTCCTTCCTGAGCTGCAGGGAGGTAAGTGGGTCAGTGCAGGAATGGCCAGTGCTGGGGCTCTGGGAACTGGGAAGGGCTTTATGAGCCATGGGGCAGGAACAGTTCTGGCACACATGCTCCGGGCTGGGCTAAGAGGATTAATGTGAGTCCTGGGTGATAATCCCCACAGACATCATGCGAATGGACAGCAGCCAGGGCTGGCTGAGCCTCTCCAGTGATACTGCTGGACTGGGAGGACTGGTAGAGTAGCTGGCCGGGCAGTGCTGGTTTGTTGTGACCTGGGAGGAGAGTTCTCATCAGGCAGGTGCAGTAGGACAAGGAGAAATGCAAATCCAGAGGGGAATAATTTGAGATTTGTACTAGAAAGAAAATCAGTGTTGGGGCTGCCACCTACCCCATTTAAATGGCAGTGAGTAACAGAGACTGTGGACCTTAGCCCCACGTGCAGCTCAGGGATGCTCCAGGGATGGACACAAGGTCTGAGCCAGTGATGATTTTGGAGGCTTCAGGGCACAGGATCGCTGTTGCAGCCCGTGCAGTCCCGGGGATGGGACCAGTGGGAGCCGCAGATCTCTGGGCTGTGGGAGCTCTTACCGGGATCACTGGGCTGTGGAACCCACAGGGATTGCTGGGCTCTTGCTTGGGAAAGCACGGGGGAGCAGCAATGCACAGTTCAATAACTGCAATAAGCAGTGCTTGCATAGCTGAGCTCTGTCCATGCTGGAGGGAGGAAAAGGGGAGCCCCACGCACTGGAAGGAGGTGGTGGGTTGCACCCAGGAGAGAGCAGCTCCGCATCATAATTAAATCACTTGCCAGCCTCATGTTCCTAAATTATCCCTCCCCACTCCCCCCGCCACGGCTCTGAAAGCAGCATAGATGAACTGCAGGGCTCGGGGAGGTTGGCTGTAAGTAATCCTCTCATTATCCTGCCATGCTCCCCTCCTCCTCCTGCAGACAGCCCAAGGACGAGGTAAGCATCACGCAGCATTCCAGGATGTCAGCAGTGATGTATCTGCTCCCACCACCAGCCGGGGAATGGCAGGGCATTAAAAGATGGCACAAAGCAAGATGGCCTTGTTGTCCTTTCGTCCCTGCACTATGTGCATACAGGCAGACAGGTCCCCAGGTCATTCCAGGAGTGTTAGTACTGTATCTCAACAGTCCCTGAAGCCATAGCTCTTCCCTGTCTCAGCACTTTCCAAGAAGCTGTGTAAGAGAGGGCACTAACAGCAGGGCCCCATCCCTGTGGCAGAGGTTCCATTCCAACACCAGATGTTTCCGCTGCATCTACTTTGGGTGCAAGGGAGGAAATGGCTGTTTCCCCACATCTAACACACCACACAGACACAGAACGGCGGCTACTGGCCTCGATGATCTTAGTGTTTTTTTCCAACCTTACAGATTCCATAAAAGGAGAATAAATCTTCCCCACATGCACAGGAGACATGGAATGAACCAGTGGACTGAAACTGCCATGAGGGAGATTTAGGCAGGAGACCAGAAACACTTCCTGAGGCAATGACAGCTTGGCCTGAGGTTGTGAAACGTCTGTCATATGCTGGCAGGTAGGGGCTGCAGCAATCGGCTCCTCTGGAGCCAGGATGGCTGATTTCTCATTATCCCATACCTCTCTTGCTAGGTTGGAAGCATTCTAGGGCAGCACTGGGGGCTCCAGTCCTTGCTGGGACAAGAGCCAGTGCACCTCTGGGCATGGTAGCACACTCAATATCCTAAAGGAGATGAAAATGCTTGAGAAAAATACCTAGAAAACACAAAAACCCCTCTTCTGTGTAGGGGGAGCAGCTGGAGCCACGCTGGAGGCTCCACTGCCCAGCCCTGCCTCCAAAGTTAGTAGCTGCTACAGCTAGAACTTTGGGATCACACAGATAAGAGAAGTTCCATATGGAATCAGGCAGTGAGCTTCTCTGGAATAATAATGCTCATTTTCCAGAAACAGGCAGCTGGAGCAGTCCCAGAGCGCTGCAGCAAAACAAGCTGGCAGAACCTTCCAAAAGGTGACAGGGGACAAGGACAGGCGAGGCTTCAAAAGGCCACTGAGCAAAGTGAGAGCTACTCAAGAATTCCGGAGAAATACAATTAGTGGTAATCAATGTGGATTTGTGTAACCTTTGTGCTCTAACTAGGACAGGACCTGAAAAGAGGCAGCAGTGCTGATGTGCTGTAACACCTTCCATGAAGCATCCAACTGCCATCTGGCACTTTTGCAAAGAAAACAAAAAGGAACAATATGGAATTGACACTTGGACACACACAAAAAAGGCTCAGTACTAGAACCATTGTGAACAGGGATTCAGCAAGTCTTCTGGTGAGTTATTCCAAGATTGGTTTCCAACATAGAGACAACACAACTGAGTTTGAGGAAAGAGGAACAGTGATTCCAGCTGGGGAGATAAGCAGGTAAATTGGGAATAACTGGTATTTCAGTATAACAGAACTATAGTTCTCAGAGTAACTCCTTACATGTTAATTCCTCACAGCCTTTGGCAGCAGATGCCAAAGCACAACAAATCCCTCCAACTTCCCACACAAACCTCCAGGCCAGCTCCAGCTGTCTGCTCCCTCTTCTCCTGACAGCCCTCCAGGAAGGCAAGTCCCACCTGGGCACAGGGCAGGCTTATGCTCTGTGTCCCTCAGCCACCTCGTCAAACCCACAGGACAATGGGATGCTCAAGGTCCCTATCCCAGTGACGTTGCCCAGTATAACAGTGCTGGCTCACCTGGTGTGTTTAGGTTCCCAAATGGTTTGTTGATAGGTTTATTGAGCCTAAAACCACACAGCTCTGACTCCAGTGACAAACATCCATGTGTTTCAAAACATGGGCAAGTGGATCTTTACCAACTGGTGAATAAGGACAGGCTTAGAGTGTATTTTTTCATAGGATTTAAGTTTGCATCTCTTCTTTGGAGAACATAGGAAGTGCTAGGGGCAAAGAGAGCAAATAAACGGTAAAAAAATGTTTTAAAGTATAAGTACTTACACTGATTTAAACCAAGCCCCCTAAAGCTTCTGTGTTCAATACACAAAGTTTTCATCTGGAGACTGAGGGGGTGTCTGGTCTGGTTTTTTTAGAGACAGCCCAAATTTAAAGACTGCAGCCCATATTTACAACATGCAAACATGGTTTGGACAGACAGTCCTGAGACCAAAGCACGGGCTTGATTTATTAGACATATAACTATAACATGATTTGCACATTTATAGGACAGACCTCACTAGGTAAATCATAGAATTATTTTCAAATAAAGAAGATAAGCTTTATAGAATCACAGAATCATTTAAGTTGGAACAAACCTCTAAGACCATTAACCCAGCACTGCCAACTTGCCACTAACCACCAACATGTGGTCCCTTTCAGCCTCAGAGGCTGGAAGAACTGGTTTTTATTTTGGTGAGTAAAATTTTTGTAGCATAAAAAGAATATATAGACTAGAAAACAATATCTATTGATTTATCAATGAGAAATAAAATCATTGAAAACATTCATTATAGTAATTTTGACTCTAAAAAGGGGAAAATTAGAAACAGAGAAATGAAAACATATGTGATATGTCCATAGATACTGGATGATTTTTCTCTCTTAATTCCAAGGTCTGTGTGATCCCAGGTCACAGATGACTCTTGGACAGGCACAAGGCCAACAGCACATCAGCTTCATGTGAGCTCTCACAGTTTAAGAACAGGAGTGAAAACAATTCCCTGCTCGAAGCCTTTGGCCGAGGCAGCTGCCCTTGGCTATGGAAATGGTTCCAGCTAATTCTAAGTTTAATCCAATGTTTACTGCTATAGCCATTCCAAAAATCTCCCCTAAGAAAAAATATGTGAAACCAAACAGTTTAAGAGTTGAAAGGAATCTTGGGTTAGTTCATGTACTTCTCTGCAACTGTCTATATTACCTCTAGATGATTAAAACTACATCTTTTACTACCTCATTTACCACAAGCCAAAAGCAGACGCTGCCAGACAGTGAAGTATCTATGTTCTTTGACCTCAGGTTGCCAAGACAGCAAAGAGGGACTGAAAATCCAATCACCATGACAAAGCCAGGGGTTGGAGCTCTCAGTGCAGCTGTGACTGCCCTGCTTGTTCTCCCACTGGTGGAGCCTGAAAGCTGAAACCGAGCAGCCAGGGAGCTTCCACAGCCTCCTGGAGCCCCTCCCAGGGCCGCTGGAAATCAGAATAGGTTTGCTCATGAAGTGTTCCGTGAGTTTCCAATGGGGCAGGAAAAAAATGAGGGTGTCAACCAGGACAAATGAAAAGGAAATCTTGTCCATACCTGAAGACGAGACAGCTGGGGAAAACTGTTGGACTGTAAAAGGAACAGGAGGTGAGGAGGACAGGGGTGGTGACAAGCAGCCACTGCAGCCTTTAAAGGTAAACACAAGGAAAAAAAGCAGCACAGAACTTTGAGTGAATGAGGTGGATGGCTGGGCTGTTCCTGGTGGCCAGAAGTGGTGAGGATTAAGGATATTTTCTCTCCTGTGAGCCAAAGAAGCCCACTGAAGACATGAGGGAGGAGGCTATAGCAGGTGAATTGTGTGAGGACTGAGGACTGTAAAGCAGTGGATGGAGTGGATGTTGAATTTTGCATGGAAAACACCACAGGGGGAGAACATGGATCTGGCACACAGCATGGGATGTGGCATGACAGATTAAAAAATCACACTCCTTTCTGAGTATGTACCCATCAAAGCAGTGCTGGAAGCAGAAAGATTTGGAGAGCAGCTGCCGGGCAAGGCCAGGAGTAGGGAGATCTGTGAATCTTCGTCCTAGAGATACGCACGGCTGGGGATGCCCAAGGATAGCTCTAGATAGAGAAGGTGAAGCCTGTGCCCAAAGGTGCAAAAAGGAACCTAAAAGTTGAAAAGTTAGGGATAAGTGACAATATCACAAGAAAGAGCAAAGGACAGGGGCTTGAGCCCAGCACAAGTGAGCCTGGTGACACGAGTACAGTCCAGGGAGCAGTAACTGGGTGGCATCACAGAAGTGCTGTGAATGCAGGGAGGTGCAATTAAATAACAGCTGCTTAAAGTCAGGAGCCAAAAGAAAAGAGCAGTAAGAAGGCTGAGACCAATGAGAAAAGAAATATCCAAAGTCACCAGCTGTGAGCTGGTCTGTAGCTGCACAGGTAGTCTGGCCTAACAGGCACTGACTGGACCAACCCAGCTGTTAGGTAATAGAAGTAAACAAGTCCCAGGTATCAAAGTGATTGGCTGAACTCAAGCTCAAACAAGGAGACCCCAGCCAATCCCTTCATGAACCATTGAACCATATCATTGGCCAGTGAGCTGGGCGGAGCTAAGACCCTTAACCAATCACGGTTGTACGGGAAATTCGAAGTCCCTATAAAAGGGGTGCACATCACTAAACCTCGGCTGCTGCTGCATGATCTTGGTTTGTGTTCTTGTCGCTTTCCTGTCTCCAAAGCTGCAACAACCAGCAAAGGGAGTCCCCAAACACAGGCTGACATAGGTGTACATAAGTGATTCCCCTTCAAAAATAATTTCAAGCTTTGCCAAGAAAGCAAACACTATGTAATATATGATATAATGTAATTCGTGTAAAGTTGTAAATTAATGTGGAATAAGCAATGTTTGTATGAATAAAATAATAAAGAAAACTCAGAAACCAAAAAGAGAACCACGGACAAAAAGGACACAGATTGCTTCATCACAGCATTGTAACAGCCACCTGAAGCAGGACAGCCCAGCTTAACAAGTAAATAGAGGTGGCCCGAGATGGCTCTCTTGGAAACCATCCAGGAAACACCCAAACGATGAGCTCCCGACAAGCACCCATGATTAAGATAACCAGAGCCGTCGGGAAAAATACATCTCAATACCAGTTTCCCATAAACCAAGACCTGCAAGATACATCTCAATACCAGCTTGTAAACCAAGGCCTGCCTTCATCAGAATTCATGGTCTCCCAGAATATGGTTTTTTTCAGCCCAAGGCAGAGAAAGAAAACCACATGAATGTGCGAAGCAGTGAAAGGAGACCAAGACCTCTGCTCCAGGCTAGGAAAAACTGTATATAAACTGGACTGACCAAAGTGGTTTTGTGAACATTGGGGAATCCGGAGCAGTAGAGTTTGGATCATAGCATGTTCACCCGGTTCCGATCCCAGGCTTGGCGTTGCTCTTTGCGATTGTGGTTGTCGTGGACCGTAACCCGGCCACGAAATAAATTATCACCTATTTTTGATTATACTCAATTCGGCTGAATCTCTTTATTATCTATAACAACTGGATACAGTTGAAAATATTTCATTATGTTTTCAAAGGAATAATTTATACTTCCAATAAAATGATGAAAAACACTACTGTTGTCACTATCCACAATGCAGAGCAAAAGGCTGCAGACCGCTGTACCTGACAATGCACCTCTCTGGGCATCACTTCTGCCTGTAGCTTGTGACTGCACCGGTGTGAGTGCCCCTTTAGTTTACTCACAGGTACTCTGAATTCTGAATTCAACATTTAAGCCTGTATTGCCCCAAGTATCCTCCTCTCTGTCAGTGGCAATTCTAACTTCAAAAATATTTATGGTTAAACGGATGCATGGTCGTGACTTTGTGATTATACAAAAGATACTACAAAATCAAATTATTTTATCCTCACACAGATATCAGAGACAGGAAAATTAACTGTAAGGGACCTCAGAGAACTATTCCATACGAAATAAGCTTAATAAAAAGGTTTATCGTCAAAAATGAGCAGGAAAGACTACTCCTTTATTGTTGAAACTGCACATTTCTAAGATGCTGTGCCTGCTGAAAGCAGCTTCAGGTGGGACTACCTGACACGAATGTACAGAAGGTTTGTAATGTCTTCCTAAAAAATACTAATTTAAAAATGTGGGGCACTCCAGGGGAGACTACTCAAAGCCCAAGAAGCAAGAAGTGTACTGACGCATTTNAGGTTTGTAATGTCTTCCTAAAAAATACTAATTTAAAAATGTGGGGCACTCCAGGGGAGACTACTCAAAGCCCAAGAAGCAAGAAGTGTACTGACACATCTTCCGACCTGCATCCAGGGAAGGAGATAATTCTGGTTCCTGAGCACTTCAAAGCAGTCTGCCAGCAAATCCCCTCTGCTGGCCAACATCACATCTCATGTTGTGAGCCCTGGGCTCTGGTAGGTCCCCGACTTTCCAGCAGGGCAGGCTGGAAAGGGCCCTTGACATATCCTTGATGTAAAACTTGGGTTGCTCCAACTTACAGAGGAATGACAATATTTTCATTAGTGGGAAAGACAAATTGCACATCCCTTGGTCGAGTGGGGGGAGGTCTGTGCTGGTTTAGCACAGGCGGGGAGAGCTGGGGCTGCTCACCTGGAGAAGAGAAGGATCCAGGGAGAGCTCAGAGCCCCTTCCAGGGTCTAAAGGGGCTCCAGGAGAGCTGGAGAGGGACTGGGGACAAGGACCTGGAGTGACAAGGGACAATGGCTTCCCACTGACACAGGGCAGAGTTTAGCGGGATATTGGGAAGGAATTCTTTGCTATGAGGGTGGGCAGGCCCTGGCACAGGGTGCCCAGAGCAGCTGTGGCTGCCCCTGGATCCCTGGAAGTGTCCAAGGCCAGGTTGGATGGGGCTGGGAGCAGCCTGGGATGGTGGAAGGTGTCTCTGCCCATGGCAGGGGTGGAGCACGATCAGCTTTAAGGTAGGTCTCTTCCAACCCAGTCTGCGGTTCTCGTTGTGGGGGGGGGGGGATGCGGCTGGGGGCGGCAGAGGCTCACCCAGCTGTCTGGCAGGCCCGCAGCAGCTGCGACCCGCAGCCGCCGCAGTGCCGGGGCGGCAGCCCCGCCTCAGGGCTCCCCTGCGCCGCCATGGCAGCGGGGAGGGCGGGGCTGCGGGCGGGGCGGGGCCGGGTTGTGGACGGCGGGCAGTGCCCCGTGCCCGCCCTTCCCTCCTAGTGCCGCTCTTCTCACCTGTCCCCCTTTGCCCTTAGTGCCGCTTTCCTCCCGGTGCTGCCATGACGGGCCCACCCTGCGGGTCCCTGCTCGACTACAAGACCGCCAAGTTCTCGGTGACGCGGAACCGGCGGGTGGGGCTGCTGCACCGGCTGCTGCAGCTGAGCGCGCTTGGCTACCTGCTGGGGTAGGGCCCGTGCCCTCGGGATGGCCGGTCCCTGCTGGGGTAGGGACCGTGCCCTCGGGATGGACGGTTCATGCCGGGGTAGGGAACCCCCCGCCCCCCAGCCCTCGGGCCAGGCCGGGGGTCCCTCAGAACTCCTTGCCCGTCCACAGGTGGGTGCTGCTGCTGCGGAAGGGGTACCAGGAGCGCGACGCGGCTCCGCGTGTCGCCGTGGTCACCAAGGTGAAGGGGGCGGCGGCCGCCGAGGCCGCGGGGCGGCGGCTCTGGGACGCTGCAGATCTCACCTGGCCTCCGCAGGTAACGAGGGCAGGGAGGTCACACGTACGGGCAGTCACCTTGGCAAGGGCATGCCGCGGGTACCACTGGCCTCCCAAAGCCCTGGCAAGGCCGTTAGTGCCTGTTCCACCCATAGTGTCACATGGCGTCCCCTTGGATCCACCCTGGCAGGGTCAGCCCCTCGTTGACGGCGCCTTCTTGCTTTCCAGGGAGAAAATGTGCTTTTTCTGGTGACCCATTTCACTGCCACAATCCAGCAAGCCCAAGGCACCTGCTCCGAGGTGAGTGAATGGACCTGTCCCAGCCTGGCCTCACACGGGTGGGATGGAGCCAGTGGTCGTACTGCTCTGTGGAATCCAGTGGAAGACCAGATAAAAGAGAAAAATTGATTTATATTCCCATGAAACCCGATTCTCCTCATTCTCACTGCTTCATAACGCTCCCCAGCATATCTGCACTTGCTCTGTGTATCCACATGCTCTACCAGAACTTTGTAGTGGCCAGGACAGGGGACACGGAGCCTCTCCAGCTCTGAGCTCTTTGTATGGTGGCACTGTATAATCATTCCAGATTTTTTGCTGCCCTTGAACAAGGGGATGACTTGACACAGACTCCATGGATGTCTGTGTCATGTCTCCTTGATAACTCCCTGCAGCAGGACTAATATCCATTTTAATGTCCTATTTTTAGGAGGAATGGAGCACAAGGTCTAGATGGTTTTCCAGCCAGCCAACACTTAATGGTATATGTTTTCTGGGAGAAATCTTCCCATTAAGGCTGGAGTCAGGCCAGCTCCTCTGCTGCACTCTCCCAGAGAGAGTGGACCCTGCTCAGCAGATGGGAGCAAATGTCCTTTAAGCTGAACCACTGCTGGCACTTTGTACCTAAGCCTAGCACCAATTGTCCTGATGGTCCCTTCAGCTCCTGCTGTGGCCAAATGCTGCAGGGGAGGAGAAATGCCAGGTTTGAGTCAGGGAAAATCGCACCAATGATTCATCTTTAAAATGCTGACAACTTCTGAAGTTCCAGCAGGTGCTACAAGTGCTGTAGGGCATTTCGGGTTTCTCAAAGGAAGCCACAGGCACCTCTACATGCTAGGTTTACAGTATGCAAGCCAAGGACACACAGAGCTGAGAATTTAATTCCATTCCAGAGCTCGGGTGTGTGTGGGTGCCTGTCCCAGCCTACATCCTGTGCTGGTCTCCAAGAGTTCCTCAGTTCCTGGCATTGGGGCTGTAGATAACATTCATATTTGGAAAGCTTTGAATATTTAGCAGTGGCAGCTTTTGTCTTTGCAGGGAGTTTAAGCTGTCTTAATATTCTTGACGACCAGAGTATTTGGTGCTGGCAGATGAGTGTGTCTGTGGCCAGAGGCAGCACTGAATGCTAGCCGAGCTGTTTCAGCAGCTGTACTTGCACTTAAAGTCTTTGCATCCATTTATCCCTTTATGTTCCAGCGTTTGTGTTCCTTTTTCGACTACCAAGTTCCCTCCTTCCCATGCCTTCTCTTCCTCCTCTAAATAACCCATTCCCTAAACACCTTGTGCAATCCCCAGATGTTCTCCTGCATCCCATAATGACTCCAGATCCCACCCAGCCCAAAGATGCTGCTCCTCTCAGAAATTGTTGGTGGGTTTTACACTTTAATGAGAGGTTGAGGTTGTCCTGGGGCAGCCCAGGGAAGGCCTGAACAGGTCCCACTTCTGACTCTGTAACTGAGGATTTCCCTCCTGCATTTGGGCCTCTGTGCCCCCCAGAGCTTGGGGAGCTGGTTTTCTGATGTGCTGAGCTGGTGACTCCTGTCATGGCCTGGAGTAGCTGGGGGACGGGTTAGTAGTGTTTCCCCAACTACCATCATCTCTCTGTACTTGAATAAGAGGTTTTTACTGCTCCTGACTACTGCTCAGCTAGGTCCAGATTAAGGGTGAAGCTTTCCCTGTCATTTGTAAAACTTGTGTTATGCTGGATTTGGGATCTACTAAGCTCTCCCCCAGGGAATTATGGTATTTTACAAGGTGCTTAATGGGCTCAGTCATTAGGGCGCTCCTGAATCCATCTGTGCTGGTTCCCAGTTCCATCTAAAAGATCTGAGGTAGCTCCTGAGGCTTCCTCTGCCACTGAGCAGCAGCGTGCAAATGCTCTAGAGAGGAAGGATTGCCCCTTGGACATGCCTCTCTTCTGACTGGCTAGAGGCTGCTGAATGTTCACCTCTAACTGTTTGAGAAGCACCTGGAGAAGCAGGAGTGGGAGTGACAGCATTGCCTCAGGTAGCAGTGACAGCAGTTCTCTCTGTCCCTCCCAGAGCCCCTCTGTCCTCGATGGGATGTGCACAGAAGATGCAGATTGTCCGTTGGGAAAACCTGTGGTTCATGGCAACGGTACTGGGTGTTTTGTTAAAGAAACAAAATTCCAGAATGGTTTGGGTTAAAAAGGAACTTAAAGCTTATCCTGTTCCACCCCCTGCCATGGGCAGGGATACCCTCCACTATCCCAGGTTGCACCAAGCCTGGCCTTGGACACTTCCAGGGATCCAGGAGCAGCCACAGCTTCTCTGGGCACCTTGTGCCAGGGCCTCCTCACTTTCATAGCCAAGAATGCCTTCCCAATAGCCCACCTAAACCTGCCTCTGGCAGTAGGAAGCCATACTCCCTTGTCCTATCCCTCCAGGCCCTTGTCCCAAGTCCTTCTCCAGCTCTCTTGGAACCCCTTTAGGCACTGGAAGGGGCTCTAAGGTCTCTCCAAAGTCTTTTCCAGGTGATCAAGACCAACTCTCTCAGCCTGTCTTTTATTGTCTTGTTTCTAGGGATAAAAACTGGGAAATGTTTGATGTTCAACACCACCCATTCCACCTGTGAAATCTATGGCTGGTGCCCTGTGGAGAATGACGCCCTGCCCAGGTAACCACACATGAGGAGACAGCAGATATTGGGAGCTTTGACTCCCTCCCTCTGTGTTACCAGAAGTCCGACCACACTTGCCCAAGGGGCAGCCAGGCTTAGGGAGACCTCTGACATTGACCTTCTGGTCAGTTAAGCTCAGAGGACTTCCCCTAAGAGCATTTCTTGCACCTGTCCATTGTAGCCAACATCCTGGGGTTGCAGAGCTTGGGAGATGGGGCCTTGGCCGCCATACAAGACTTGGCTTTGTTGTTTTCTAGGAAACCTCTTTTGGCTGAGGCAGAGAATTTCACTATTTTTATAAAAAATACTGTCCACTTCACCAAATTTAACTTCTCCAAGTAAGTACAGTACTTCCCAGCTGGGTTGAGCATGCAGCCTGGTCCAGCCTTAGCACTGAGCTTGTCATGGGGCTGAGAAGCTGAAGGACTCGTGGAATCAGTGGCACCCAGGGCACGTGGTGCTGGGGCAGTTAGGGCAGGACAGGTGTTGAGGTGAATACAGGTCACTTCAGCTGTGCTGGGTGTGCAGCTCTAACAGTGGTGGGATGGGGACAGCTCAGAGAGAGGGACTGGTGTCCATCTGCCCATGTAGAGCACTGCAGAGAGCTGGACAAGGCCAGGCATTCCCAAGCTCTCATTTAGAAGTGAAACTAATATTTTTTGTCTTTTAGGCCTTGCAAAGTGGTTTCATAGAAGGCAAGTAAAGAACTGCACTGGCCCCACAGCCCAAGGCACACTGACTGTGCTGCCTTACCATGGCAGGAGATGTGGCATGAACTGTCCCTGCTGTTACCCCTAGCAGTGACTAGACCTGGGTGCTGGGAAGAAACAAAGGAGCACAAAGATGTGGAAGGGAAGGCCATGGTACATACCATAGATGATAACTCCATATGAGATTCCTCTGGGCTGTTTTTTCTCCACCCTCTCTCCATCTGAGGCTTTAGGCGAGGCATTGACTGTCCCCCCACCGATGCAGGAGCACTGGTGGGCCCAATCCAATGAGGAGGTCCCCTTAGTAGTCCCACATCTGGGCTCCATGACCTCCCACTCCCCTGCCTCCCTCTCTCCTGTCTTAGGTGCAACACTTTACAAACTACTGACCCCAGCTATTTCAAGAGCTGCACATATGATCCAGTCTTCAACCCCTCCTGCCCTGTGTTCCGTGTCCGTGACATGGTGGAGGCAGCTGGAAAGAACTTTGGAGACCTTGCACTCCTGGTACTTGTTTTTTATATAACTATGGAAGGTGACTCAAAATTCCCCAAGGATGTGAGCAAGAAGCAGAGGACTGACCTGAAATGCTAAGGGAATATGTGATCCGTGAATATCTGAACAGAACTCAGCCAATCCGATTCCATACTTCTCCTGGAATAAAATATGTTTTGCAGGGGGGAATCATCAGAGTTCTTATCGAGTGGAACTGTGACCTGGACCACCCCGCTACCCAGTGCCAGCCACAGTATTCCTTCAGGCTGCAGGACACGATGTATAATTTCAGGTGAGGATGCTGAGACAGTGGCCACCCAGGCCTGTGGGATCAGCACCTGGCAGTTGTTTGAGATTTCAGTTCTGATGGATGCTCTGAAAGGAGCAGCAGGGACAGGAAGTTTGCCTCGGTCAGTTCACAGATAACACTGAGCTGAGTGGGAGTGTGGATCAGCTGGAGGGCAGGAAGCCCTGCAGAAGGATCTGGACAAGCTGGATCCGTGGGCCAAGGCCAATTGTATGAGGTTCAGCAAAGTCAAGTGCCAGGTCCTGGGGTCAGAACAACACCATGGAATGCTCCAGGCTGGGGACAGAGGGTCTAGAAAGCTGCAGGCAGAAAAGGACCTGAAGGTGAACATGAACTCCAGTGTGCCCCGGTGAGCAAGAAAGCCAGGGCCACCTGATCTGTGCCAGCCCTGATGTGGCATCATAGGGGACAGTGCCTGGCCCCTGTGCAAGCACTGCTGGGGCACCTCCAGTCCTGGCAGATCTGGGCCCCTCCTGACAAGAGAGACCTGGAGGGGCTGGAGCGTGTCCAGGGAAGGCAATGGAGCTGGGGAAGGGGCTGGAGCCCCAGGAGAGGCTGAGGGAGCTGGGAAAGGGGCTCAGCCTGGAGAAAAGGAGGCTCAGGGGGGACCTTGTGGCTCTGCACAACTCCCTGACAGGAGGGGACAGCCGGGGGGGATCGGGCTCTGCTCCCAGGTAACAAGGAACCTTATTGGAGGGAACGGGTTGAAGTTGCCCTAAGGCGGTGTTTAGATTGGATGTTAGAAAAAAATATTTTCACTGAAAGGTTTGTCCAGCCCCGGTACAGCTGCCCAGGGCATTATTGGAGCCCCCATCCCTGGAGGGATTTAAAAGCTGTGTAGATGTGACACCTGGGGACATGGGTTAGTGCCGGGTTAATTGGTTGGACTTAATGGTCTTATAGAAGCCTTTTCCAATGATTCAGTGATTCCAAGGCAAGGGGGAATGGTAATTCAGGGCAGGGCCTGTCAGTACTGGGATGCTGTGGTAGTTCCCACACTTCGTAGTTCTGTTGTGTTTGGAGCTGAGCAGGGCATTGCCTGCCTGAGGGCAGGGACCTGTGACTGTCCCCACCTGAACGGGGCACACTGAGAGCTGCATCCTCTCAGTGGCCCAGAGTGGGTGCTGAGGGGATGCTGATGCCCCGCTGTTGGTGCCAATGAGTCGTCGCTGCATGTGTATGCCCAGTTCCCAGCCTGGAGGATACACAGGGGCCCACAGGCCCAGCAATCCTTTGTCATTGGAATCCCCTTCCCTCCCTGCCTTGCATGGAGCTGCCTTTCTGAGCCATGCCCAGTGTCTCCCACAGAACTGCCTCCTACTACTGGGGCTCGCAGCGGCAGCTCTACCGGAACCTGCTGAAGCTCTATGGGATCCGCTTTGACCTCTCTGTGCACGGCCAGGTACTGTGAGCTCCTCAGCCCCAGGGCTGACTCCTCGCACCACTGCTCCCCCTCTGCTCCCCTGGTTTCTGCTGCCATCGCTTCCCTCCACCCGGATGAGCTCTTCACCTCTTTCCAGAGTTTTTTAAGCAGAGCAGGAGAAAAAGGTCTCTCCTATTTGAAGAAAAACCTTTTGGTAATGTCCCGAGGAGGGAGATTTCCCTCTCTGAAGGCTGGGGCTGTAAAGTGTTCAGTAGGCAAGGTGAGCTGCTCTGGGCTTGTGGGTGTGTCTCTCTGAGGGTGGGAGTACCCTGACAAAGATCAGTCTGAACTCTACTGACCCTGGACAATTAATCCCTTCTTGATTAAAAGTACCCTCAGGGGGAAAAGCTGTGGTATGATCAAGGCTGAACATTCCCCAGCCATGTGCACTGAGAGCCCAGAAACCTGCCATGTCCTGGGCTCATCCCCAGCAGTGTGGGCAGGAGGTAAAGGGGAATTCTGCTTCTCTGCCCTGCTCAGGTGCAGTGCTGCCTCCAGCTCTGGTGTCCCCAACACCAGAAGGATTTGGAACTGCTAGAGTGAGCCCAGAGGAGGCCACAGAGACGCTCCAAGGACTGGAGCCCCTCTGCTCTGGAGCCAGGCTGGGAGACCTGGGGTTGCTCACCTGGAGAAGAGAAGGATCCAGGGAGAGCTCAGAGCCCCTTCCAGGGCCTTAAGGGGCTCCAGGAGAGGGACTGGGGACAAGGGATGGAGGGACAGGACACAAGGAATGGCTTCCCACTGCCAGAGGGCAGGGATGGATGGGATCTTGGGAAGGAATTTTTCCCTGGGAGGGTGAGCAGGCCCTGGCACAGGGTGCCCAGAGCAGCTGTGGCTGCCCCTGGATCCCTGGCAGTGTCCAAGGCCAGGTTGGACATTGGGGTTGGAGCAGCCTGGAATAGTGGAAGGTGTCTCTGCCCATGGCAGGGGGTGGAGTGAGATGAGCTTTAAACCTTTTCAACCCAAAGTATTCCGTATTTCCGTGATTGTTGATGCTACTCTGTGCAGCATCACTCACAAACTAAGTGCTTAGCTTTCTAAAGAGGGAGCTTGTGCTGAGAGCCCTTCCCACACAGAGAGATGTCCACAGCTGGTCTTTTATGGTCAGCAGTGCCCTTTGCACCTGAAGAAGGTGAAGCACACAGTGCAGGACAGGGTGTACCACTTCTAGGCTGAGAGAGCAGGTCCAGGAGCTGTGGAGTAGGAGAAAACAGCCAGAAGAGAAACCACCAGACTCATTTGTGGAGGGAGGAACACATCATATCAGGGTTATGTTTGCTAGGATGTGGTTCCATGGGTGGCAGTGCAGCAAGAGGGTCGTTCCTGCTGTGCCTACAGGAGCGGGTGGGTTACAGTAATCTCTGCATGGGAAAACATCCCTGGATCCTTCCAGCACCTCCTGACTTTGAGCATGCTGCCCTGCAAGGCTCAGCCCACAACCTTCTCCCCCCTCTGACCTCTCTCTTACCCCTCCACTGTTTCTCATCAGGCTGGGAAGTTCAGTATTGTTCCTACTGCCGTGAGCTTCGGCACCAGCATCGCTTTCTTTGGTGCTGTGAGTACTCCAGATACACTCTTTTCCTTTGATCTATGGCTTGGGATTTGCCACTTCTCAGTTGTTTCCCTTCCTGCCTGGGCACAAGGCTTCCTTAGTGCCAGCCAGCAAAGAGGGGAGATGGTCTGGCAGGGTGTTAGCCCATTAATAATGACACCGCTGGAGTAGGATCCTGAGTACTGTCAGGGTCACGTCTCAGAGGTCAGGTTTTTGTGTGGATCCTGGGACAGAGCATCACTGGGATACTGCTGGCAGGAGAGAGCAGCTCCTCTCTGCTTCTCCTCTGACTCTGAAGGGCCCCAGTATCCTGTCACTGTGATGGGGCAGTGCCTTTAAGAGCCTTCTGTGGCTCTTCTCTTCCAGCAGAGTAACAGGGAGGTCCCCCACCTGCCTCCCTTTCCTCCCTGACATGCTCATCCCTGTCTATATGTGACTGTGAGGGTGCTGGAACAGCCCTCCCTGTCCATCCACTGCAGTCTGGGGATGTTGTCTGACCTCCTGTGCAGCTCCTGGGACCACGTTGGGTCAGAGAGGAGCCAGTGGAGCTGGCAGGAGGCAGGGCTGGCTCACTGCCACAGCAAATGCCCACAGCAGGCTGCAGGGCTCAGTGGGGGGGAGCCAGGATGGAAGGCCAGGCATTCCTGTGGGAAGTTTCCCATCTTCAATGTTTGTCTGTCTCCAGGCTACGATGGTCTGTGACCTGATTCTGCTCTACCTGGATGCAAAGGCTGACCTTTATTGGAAGGGGAAGTTTGAGGAGGTAAGAATAGGGCCACATGGGAGAGAGAAGCTTTTGAAGTGAATCATTCTGGATTTAATGGTTTTCTGCCCTTTGGTTAAAACTCAGTTCCCAAGATCAGGGGAAAACCTGGTGGAACAGCTTAGTCTCCAACTTTTGGGCTTGGTTGCCAGTCTGAACTGGGAGAGGGATCCAGCAGGGAAAGTTGCACCATGACCTCAGCTACTGTCAAAACATCCATCAAGGGGTCACCATGGGGATCTTACCTGGAAAACTGACCTGGTTCTATGCTTTTTCACCCTCTTCCAAATGGATTCCGTTGGGACTCTGTGCATAGAGAGGCCAGCTTTTCAGCACACGTTCTGTTCTGTGGTTCATTGACAGGTTTATGAGCCAAGCATGATTCCATTGTGAGAATTCACTGCCATGGTGAATCAGGGAGTCACAGGGAGGCCCCTACAGACCAGGAGAGCTGGCAGCCCTGCCTCAGGTCGTCTCCAGCTTTGTCTGACCATGTCTTTGGAGCCTCTGAGGACTGAGCTCCCCCATCTCCCCACCTCCTGGTGAATTGTCTCAAAGCTGCACCATCCTATTGGTGGGGGGAGGAACTTCCTTAATGCCTGATCTCGAATCCAGACTGGAGTGGGGGTCCTGGACAGTGAATGTGGTTGCATGGAACCAAGCATAGTTGGTTATAGGGCCACCTGGGCTGCCTCCATGCCTGTTGTATACTAATATCTCTGTTCATTTTGCAGGCAAGACCCCCTAAAGGTAAGCCTGAGGCCACAGCTTAGGGACATCAGGAATGCTTCACCACAAAGACCCTTTCCCCCAGAGCCACCTCCAGGTGGATATGACAGGGACATGGCTGCAGCCCCGGTGGAGGTGGGCCAGTTGGGATTAGGATCTGCCTTTCCTGGAGAAGCAGTGGCAGCAGTTCTTGGCTCCTGGAGCACAAAGCCATACCAGGGGCAGCTCCCAGCACTGACAGCCGGTGCCAGAGCAGAGCTGCCCACAGAGCTGCCCCAGGACCAGAGTGTGCTGGGGAGCAGGTGGTCCTGCTTGGCACAAGAGCCTTGTTTTCCCTTGAAAAAACAGGAATGCAATGTAATAAAGCTGTTCTGGAAGTGGGAGGAGGCTCTGCTCTGTCTCTAGCCTTGGAGGGACTGTAAGGTTGTGGAGTGCTGCTCTTGCACCTCGTGGAACCCTGCATGCTTCCAGCTGGGCTGGCTTCATGTGGGCCACCTGGATTTTCAGAATCTCCCTTGGAGGCTCAGAGGGGGGTTAGGAGCCAAGCTAAGGTTCCAGCCCTGGGCTGGTACTTCCGAGAGGTGTGCAGTGGCTCCTGCACCCTGGTTCCAGCATCCGGCCAGGGCTGATGCTCAGCAAGGACAGGCCCAGCCAGGGGGTGAGCTGGAATGTTTCAGAGGTGCTGACCCCTCACTCCCACAGTTCCCAGGCTGTGTTGGCTGATGCAAGGCAGGGATTAGCTGGGCTGTATCTGGGTTCTGCTCTGGGGGTTCCACAAAACTCAGAAACAGTGTCTGTGGATTCGAGCACTGTTTAATGCTCCCTGCCAGGACCAGCTGTGTGGGGAGCAGGGGTCCTGCAGCATCATCCCATCTCGGCTGCCTGTCACCCTGTGCCCCCCAGCTCCAGCCGGCTCCTCCCACCCTCCTGGAGCTGCCGCAGGTAGAACTGTGCTGCCAGCTGCTTGGTCATGGTCCTCAGTGCCAGGAAGGCAGCCACGATCTCGAGGAGGAGGAAGGCTAGGAACAAGCTGTGCATGGGCACCTCCAGTGGCAGGTGGATGACCTGGCTGTCCGTCAGCAGGAAGAGCAGGAGGGGCAGCTGGATCAGGAAGGAGAGGAGCAGGAACCCAGCCAGCTCGGGCACCTGCAGGATCAGAACCTGCTGAGATAGGGCAAGGGAGCAGTGGTGGGCTGGGGGGAACCTCTGTGCCTCTGGGGCTTCCTGCATCAGCCTCTGCTGGCCTTGGCACCCGGGGACCAGGGATGTCTCTGCCACATGGAGCTGTGGCAGGTGCTATCAAACCCCCACCAGTGCTGAAGGGTTACACAGGAGAGATACAGCAGGAGGGTAAGTGGGTCCCCTTCATTCCCTCTCTCCAAGTCAGGCCTGCACCCACGATTCTCTTCTGGGACAGCTCCAGGTAGAACTCCAGAGGAAGGACAGTGATGGGCACTTGGGTCCTAAGTGAGGGGACATCCAGCTTCCCCATCTGGGCTGGTCCTCACTAAGCACAGGGGGCTTTGTGGTCAGGGCAGATGGTGCTTACCTTCTCCTGGAGGTTCCCCAGGTAGCCCAGGTAGAGGCGGGAGCCCTCAGCGAGTGAGAGGATGAGGAAGGCTGTAAACAGCAGGAACTGGTAGTGCCAAGGCAGCAGGTGGTACTGTAATGGGGACACAGCCTTGTCCGAGTCCAGCTGTCCATGCCCAGCTTCCCTTTCCCTGGGCACCATTCCCTGCTCTCCATGCCCAGCCCCCTATGCCCTCCTCTTCATACCCAGCCTCCATGCTCTGCCAGCTCTCACCATGCTGATGCCCAGCTCTGCCTACTCTTCCCCCCCATTTTAACCATTCCTGCCTGGAAAGTTCATGATTTCCATCTCCAGCAGACGGAGATGAGCAATCTTTTCTCATGTGAGTCAGGGCACTTTGGGGATCCATTAATTCTGAAGAGGCTTCTCTGTTCCCTGCCCACTTTGTCCCCCACCCAAGCCCAGGGAGATTTGGTAGGAGCAGCTCCCCCCATCCCTACATGTCCCATGGGATGGTACCTTCAGGTACAGCATAATCCCCTCAGCCAGGAACCAGACCGGGAAGTAGTAGACGTTGAAGTAGAGCATCACCTGGAGGGGCAGGCTAGACAGCACCTCTTGAGCTAGGCAGGACAGGCAGGGATGGGCAGGCTGCTCACCAGCTCCTGGGCCCTCTGCCCAGAGGGACGCCGCCCCCCCCCAGCTTGCAGAAGGGACCAACTGACCCTGGGTCCCACAAGCAGCTGATTGCAGCAAATGTTCTTATTTTTGCTCCCCTCCTTGGTGGGTGGGTTCAGGGACCCTTTGGATGCTGCTGCCTCAGAGGCACCAGGTGCTTTGGTGGTGTGCTGAGCACCACCACAGGTGGTGAAGCCCCTGTTCCCAAGCGCCCCCCGCAGAGCCCTTCTGCCCATACCTGGCTGGTAGGTGTGGGCAGTGCCGCTGTCCCACGTCTTGTTGTTGATGAAGAGGGAGCCACTGAAGGCCACCAAGCCCCTGCGCAGGCTGGGGGGCAGCGGGGTGAGTGCAGCCATGGACAGCAGCTGAGCCCTGCTCACCCCAGCCCGGCTCAGCCAGGATTAGCCAGGAGGGAATCAATGACATTACAGGCCAGGCTAATGCGCAGGGCCACATGGCCATTGGCTCCCTGGGGACAGAGCTGCTGAGCTGGAAGAGGAAGGAGAATTCCCACCTTGGAACACCAAGCCCACGCAGGAATCACAAGGTGGAGGTGCAAGGAAATCACAAGTCACAGAGCATCTCCCTTCTGCAGCATCTTTAGGGGGTGATGGCAGTTGTACCTGTCACTGTGACTTGCAGCAACTGCACCCGCTCCCAGCCAGGCTCAGTCAACACAAATATTGCTCAAACACCCCTGACAGATGAGGATGCTTCATGAGAGGATGGTGTTCTTCACCTGAAATGTTTCTCCAAGGCCTCAGGGTTCATGGAGCATTTACACATCGTTGACTTCCTCAAGCTCCATCCAGGCTCAGGGGTGCTAGGGAGAGCAGTGAGGGCTGATGTGTTAGGGAGGGTTGAGCCGGAGGTGAATGGCAAGAAAGGTCCTTTAGGAACTTCAAGTTTAAAATCCCAGAATTACGAAGGTGGGAAAAACCCTCTAAGATCATCAGGTTAGATCATTAGTCCAGCACTGCCAGGGCCACCAGTGTCCCCAAGTGCTACATCAACACATTTTTTTGAACACTTCTAGGGATGGGGACTCCACCACTGTCCTGGGCAGCCTGTGTAAGAGCTGGACAAACCTTTCCAGGAAGAAATATTCCCTATATCCACCCTGAGCCCCCCATGGCCCAGCCTGAGGCCATTCCCTCTCCTCCTGTCCCTGTTCCCTGGGAGCAGAGCCCGACCCCCCGGCTGTCCCCTCCTGTCAGGGAGTTGTGCAGAGCCACAAGGTCCCCCCTGAGCCTCCTTTTCTCCAGGCTGAGCCCCTTTCCCAGCTCCCTCAGCCTCTCCTGGGGCTCCAGCCCCTTCCCCAGAACTGTTGCTTCTCTGGACACGCTCTATATGTGTCAGTCAATTCTACCCAACAGATCGGGTCTCACCTCATGACCTTCAGCCTCCAACTCACCCCATAAGGTACATCAGAAAAGCTGCCTCAGATAGTAGGAGCAAGTGCTATAAATGGGATGCTTAAGGGCCAGAAACTGTCAAAGAACACAAGAAACCAAAGAAAGACAGTTCTTTTCCTAAATAAAACTAAAATGAAATTGCAGAACTCACTGCCATATGCTGCCAAAAACAAACCATCTGGGGCTGAAAGCATTGTTAGACCAACTGGCTGAAGTTGTAGGATCACAGAATGGTTTGGGTTGGAAGAGACCTCAAAGTTCATCTCATCCCAGCCCCTGCAATGGGCATTGGACACCTTCCACTGTCCCAGGCTGCTCCAAGCCCTGTCCAGCCTGGCCTTGGACACTTCCAGGGATCCAGGGGCAGCCACAGCTGCTCTGGGCAACCTGTGCCAGGGCCTGCCCACCCTCACAGGGAAGAATTTCTTCACTATGTCTCATCTTCTTCCCAATATCCCAACCTGCCCTTGTCCTGTCCCTCCATGCCTTGTCCCCAGTCCCTCTCCAGCTCTCCTGGAGCCCCTTAAGGCCCTGGAAGGGGCTCTGAGCTCTCCCTGGATCCTTCTCTTCTCCAGGTGAGCACCCCCAGCTCTCCCAGCCTGGCTCCAGAGCAGAGGGGCTCCAGGCCTTGGAGCATCTCTGTGACCTCCTCTGGACTCGCTCCAGCAGCTCCAGGTCTTTCTGTGCTGGGACCCCAGAGCCAGATGCAGTTCTCCAGGTGGGGTCTCACCTGCATGGGGCAGAGGCAAAGCCCCAGCTGTCCCCCAAGGCCTGCCAGGACACAGGTGACACATTGGAAGGGTGACAAGCATGGCCCAGAATCTGAGGGGCTGGTGGAGAGCTCAGGATCTGGGTGCATCAAGTCTGCATGGGAAGGCAAGGTGAAGCAACCAAGATGATACATTGGCAGTCTGGTGAAGGCAACTATGGGGCAGTGCAGCTGGGGGTAACTGCATGTGCCCCAGCTGGGCTCTCATTCCTCGTGAGAACAGGCAGTTTCTTAAGAGATGGCAACTTTCTGTACTGCATTGAGAGGTTGCAAGATGTTCCTGGAAAGGTGGCAGAGAACACAATCCAGTTCTAGGACAGACTTGCCACTGGGAAGCATTCGCCAAGGCACTGGATAAGGGGTCCCAGTTTCAACACCACCCCACACCTGGGCAGAAGAGCACTACCCATCTGATCCAGCAGCCCTGCCCATGGCCTGGCACGTATCCCAAGGAAAGCTACATTGGTGACTGGGATTTCTCGTGTCACAAGTGATATTACCAGCCCTGGTTGAAACAACTCCTCTGTAAAACGCAGGGAATGGGACTTGCTACCCCCACTGCAGCTGTAGACCAGGGCAGAAGGTCCTTCCTGAGCCCCTGAATGGTCTTCAGCCCTGTGAACATGGGAGTGATGCCCATTTTATGCAGCTCATGCTCACTACTGGATGGGGTCCCATCAGAAGCAAAGGAGGTCAAAAAGCATCTTCCTCAAAAACAAAGTACTCTGTATGTCCCCAGTGTAGCAAAGTTGTGCTGGGGGAGCTGCCAGTCTCACCCAGCATGGAGAGTATGACAGAGCTTGGGGAAAACACACACTTCCAGGGAATGCCACCCTGTGGTATCCCAGAGTCCCCTGGCACTCCAGCTGGGTCTGCTGGGGAACTACCAAAGCCAAGTCCAACTATCCCACCAGCAGGATAACGGACACAAAGCCAGATCTTCGTGGATAGTGGGCAGAGCTGAGGCAGTACCTGGGCAGCTGCCTCCACCTGGGCAGTGCCCACAGCCCTAGGCCACTCTGGAAGAACCCTGCCTGGGGCACCAGGATCTGAGCAGCCCCAGCCGCCCCTGCCCTCAGAGGAGAACCTGGCGACATTTAGAACACTGACATTTGTCTTTTGGAACCTGAGATGAGACTTGCAAGCTCCGATCGTTTGTGGATCCAGCAGACCCTTAGTGGTCCCTGTTCATCACTGTGTGCTGGAGTGTGCACATCCTGCTGCCATCCTTCCTGGTCATTCCATGTGGGAAAAGCTTTGCAGTGAAAGCAGGAGAGACCAACCAGAGATGTGATAGATACTGGTGCATTTCTACCGAGCCAAGATCTGAAAGACTGGAAATATGGGTGAGCTGGACAGAGGTGGGAGAAGAGATACTTGAACAGCCTGGCCAACATGCAGAGGTGACCCAAGTTCTTGGAAGGAATAAGAAATGACTCAGATCCCAAGAATACTATTGCTTTAATTCATAGGGGGTAAATCAAATTAAAAATATAAATCCTCTTGTTTGGGACTCAAGGTAAAACACTGACTGCTGGGGAAGGAGTCACTCCCAGAACAAAGCACTGGAGTCTCTCCAAGGGGCCCCTCAAGCCCCAGTCTGCCGGGCTGATGGACACCGGGCTGTGGCTGGCCAGGTCCACTCCTGAGCTGGAGACACAGCTCATCTTCAGCATGGGGCAGGAAACAGGACAGCAGAGCACTGGCATGGTGAGTTGGGAAATGCAGCCTTGCACTATGCCAGATAAATGCCAGAGAATGGACAGTCAGAAATGCTCCCCCAGCTACTTTTCCTCGAATCACACCCTAGCAAAGCACTGATCCCATGATAGCATTAAGGAGAAATATCCCAAGGCTGGCTGGAAAGGTGACCTAGCCCAGGCTTGCAGCTGAGCCATCACAGCTCTCAGGTACCCCTGCTATGCACCCCAGGAACAGGCCAAGAGCTGCCAGTGCCCCAGCCCAAACAGAGCCCTGGGAGACAGGGAATGCACCCCAGCCCCTTGGCTGCTCCGGGACAGGAGATGCTTGGATGGGGACTGCTGAGTTCCAGAGCCCTCAGCATGGACAGAGACCCACCTCTGCTGGTGGGGCTGCACAGGACCAGCCTGGACAACACAAGCACCAGCTGCACAGAGATCACCCAGTGTAACCCCATCTCCTGGCCCACCCAGATGCCCTCTGGGGTGGGTGGGCACAGGGAGAGCTGTGACAAATGCTGCAGCCATGCAGGAAGGGAGCAGATGTAAGGCTCCACAGGGATGCACACTGGAGCTCTGCAGGAAGTGAAGAGAATTTGGAAAAGAGCATCATGCATGAAAGCACAGGAGCAACCAAAGGCACTGGTGCTGCTTATGGGGGTGAGGGACGTGCATGGGGCAGACCCATCTGGAGACCCTTAGCCCGATGGCAGCATCTGGAGCCATATGGCACCCATGCCCACTGCCAATGCCAAACCCCACGCTCTCTGTGGGCTGCTTTTCCAGCATTCCATAGCAGTTGCAACAGCAGAGCCCCAGCCCAGCAGGCACAGGGGCAGAGGAGCTGTGTGAGATCCTCCTGGGAAGGCCAGTGCACAATGCCAAGTTCATCCAGGTCTCAAAGGGAAATGGCTGAGCCATGGGGTTCCCACTGGGCTGTGGAGCTGCTGTTCCATCTCCCCACAGCAAGTGCAGCATCAGGAGGGCTCAGCCATCAGCAATGTTAGGAGCCTTTCCCTGTCAGCCAGGACATGTCTCCAGTTCTAAAAGAGAGAAAAATCAGAGAGGTTTCTCAACATGCGCGGGCAAATGCTCTTGGTGTGTCCAGTACTTTGTGTCTATCCCAGCACCCTGCTCCCTCCTCTCCCTCACCTGTCACTAAACTGTCCAAAAAGTCACCTGCAGATCTTCAATTCTGTGTTAAACTGAGCCCAAACATTTTATTTATTTATACTTAAAAGCAGCCCTTCAGTTGAAAACCCATGGAAAGCCATCAAACCCCCAGCCAAGCAAGTTCCCAGCCAACAGGATTTGTGCCTGATGTGGCTCTTGGCAGCCCCAGCCCTACCACCCAGAATTGCCCCCCATGTGAGGGGGATGCAAAACAAGGACACTCCCCATGTAGCCAGTGTCCCCACATGGGAATTAGGGGCATGGCCCAGTCAGGAGGCCAGCTGTATCTCCTGCCAGTCCCTGACATCCAGCACACTCAGGACCCCAAACTGAACGTACTTGCCATGACGGACAAACAGCCTAAAGTTGTGAAAGCAGCAAGAGACAAAGAGAGAAAAGATATTCAGATTTAATCTGGCTTCCTCCAGCCCCCGAGCCCCACCGCAGGGCCAGCAGCTCCTCCCCACCCTTGGGATGTCCATAAGATACCACTTCCCTCCCAGCCACAAAGTGGGACACCAGCAACCATTTCCTGATGTACTGGGGTGACGGCACAAGAAATTCTTCCCTTTGAGGGTGGTGAGACCTGGCACAAGCTGCCCAGAGAATCTCTGGCTGCCCCACCCCTGGAAGTGTCCAAGACCAGGTTGGATGGGGCTTGGAGCAACCTGGGTGGGGGGAATGGCATAGGGGGTGAAACTGGATGGGCTTTAAGGTCCCTTCCAACCCAAACTATTCTGTCATTTCATGAAGCCTGTCTCAGCTGGGAGGGGCACAACATGCTCCCCATCCCAGGGGTGCCCAGGGAGTCTGAGCTGGCTCAGAGGTGTCTGGGGCTTGGGAGTGCTCCTCTCCCTGGGATTTTGAAAAGATCTCTTTTTATTCCAAATGTGGAAACACCCGTGGGACAGAGACCCACATTCCCTCAGCAGCTCTGATTCCCACTCTGAAGGCTTCTTCCCAGCTGCTATCACCTCTCTGGCATTTGCCTTCCAGCACCCACCCTCAGCATAAAGCTATGCTCTTTCCTCTGCATGGTCTTAAAAACAAAGTGAAGGGAGAAAAATGCTCTTTGCCTATGAGCTCCACTCCAAGGAACCATGGGCCAGCATCCTGGCACCACCAGTTCTCTGAGCTGGGTTGTGCCTATGGGGTTATGCACAGGCTACACACTCAGTCCCTCTCTGCAGTTCTCCTTGACTGACTGGGTACCCAGGTGCACTCCAGCATAAGGCATTGCTTCCTTGATGATGTGCCAGTGCCCAAAGACAAGGAGCATCCCCATCCCATCTGTCTGTGCAAGAATTTGGGTCCTGGTGTTCAAGATAAACCCTGTGTGTGGGGGATGCCAGACCTGGAGGCAGCTGGGAGGCTACCCAGGGGGAATGAAGGAAGCAGAACAGGAAAGGAGATGCAAAAAGGGTATGGAGAGCGATCAGTGGGAAAGGCTCAGCTCTGCCCAGCACCCCAAGGCTGTGCTTATCCACTGCCCTGGCACTGCCACTTCCCACTGTCTGTCTACTTACTCCACATCACGCTTCCGGATGGTCCTGCCAGCAGCCAGGACCTCAGCCACCTTGGAGACAATTGGGTCGTAGTTCATGCTGGCCACAGCCACCACCTCATCACTCCTAGGGCGGGTAGAGCAGAGCAGTTAGGGCAGCCTGGATGGGCACAGAAAAACCCACCCAAAACCCACCATGACAGAGAGAAGAGGGAGGCAAAGCGGAACACCTACTCCAGAGCCAGGCCTCATCCCAAGGTATGAGTACCACAGAGATTGTGCAAGTGGCTGAATAAGGATCAGGAGAGGGTACAGAGTGGCACAGCAGGCCCCACTGGTCCCACCAATGTGGGATGATGCGGTGAGCATCACTAGGGTGCCTGGGTGATGGAGACAACTCTGGCACCCTGGCACCTGTGGGAAAACACCACCAAAGGTAGATCTGATGGTGGACAAAAACCTGGACACCATGAAGGATGCCCAGCCTGTGATCCGTGCACTGCTGCCCTGTGCTGAGGGAGTGGAGAGGCAGGTGGTCAGGATTTCCCTGTGGAACACTCAGTTGGGATGCTCTACACCCCTTTCCTGATCCCCACCTCCAAATAGGCAGAGTGCCCCACTCTGAGCAGCAGCACTGGGACAACTGGGGTGTCCAACCCCTGGGTTCCACAGCCCCAGAAAGGAAGGCCCCATGTATATGGGATGTTCAGGTTGGCTGACTGTTCCCCTAGCAGGATCCCAATGCAGGTTCAAAGGTTGAGTGGAAAACAAATGAAACAGAAGGAAGAGGATGTAAAAATGCTGGAGGAACTTTGGCTAAGGTCACAGGCAAAAAAGAAGGATGCTTCTCATTTGGGGTTTGCTGAGGTCAATCCAAGCGTAAACCTTCAAAGCCTGACTCATGAAGAGACAACTGAATGCACAGTGTGAGATCAGGGAAGATGTGTGGGTAAGATTTTAAACTCTGTTGATATTGTTGAATAAACTAAAGAGTAGAAGCACCCACTAAACCAAGATCTGCTCTTAAATCTACTGCCAAAGAGCAGTATGGGGATCAACATAGCAAAGAGCAGCTGGGGTGGGGAGGGATGTATGCCTAATTCACAGAACAAGGAAAGCAAAAGCCATGTTTCAGAGGACACTTCAGCCCTGTGCAGCCATGGGCATTAAAGCCATCTCTCCTATTCGTCTACAAAGCTATGGGGCAGCTCCATCACAAACTGTTTCAAAAAACTCCCATTCCTAAATAAGCTCATGGCAAATAAAGGAAAACAGTTTCCTGAGCAGAGCCAGCTCCCAGCTGGGAAACACAAAGTGGTTGGAGAGACCTATCCATCAAAACCAGGGGGAGATGTGCTGTTCCAAGCAATGAATAACCAAGGTGTGCAAGGGAACTAGAAAATGTAGTCCCACCAAGCAGGAGGACATCAGTCTGTTGTGAAGGCAGTGTCCCACAGGGACATCTGCAGAGTGCTGTCCCCTACACCTCCCAGCACAGGGCCTTTTACTGACCTCTACACAGCTCTGACAAAACAGGTTTCCTCTTCAAACCCTGGGGCAAAAGAAGCCTTATTGTGAAAGCCAATGCTGAGGACCAGGCTGTAGGAGTGGGAACCGCCAGTGGTTCCTGCAAAAACTAAGGAGGACCAGGAGAAGAGTCCAAACCACAGGGTGGGCACAGCAGAAGGAAGCAGGAGGAAATGATCAGCTTGGTACTGTCCTCAGTCCAAAAGCATTAGCACCAACTAGAAGAACCACCACCAAAAAAGAAAGAGAAAGAAATGCTCCAGTGGCCTCTCACAGACAGGGAGCCAAGCAGAGGGGGACACACTGGTTGACCCTCTTCCCAGTACCTCCAGCTCTCAGCATGGAATGCCGTCCTGGTACCCACAAGCCATCCCTGGGAGACCCTCCTGGGTGGCAGAACAGCACAGTGCTCAGCAGGGACCCCCAGTGCTGCCTGCAAGCCCAGATCCCCTGGCAGCCCCTGTCCCTTGCAGCCACCATGGCACAGGGAGCACGGGGCATGGAGCAAGGATTTTGCACCTTGCTCAGGGCGTTCCCTTTGAACAGCCTCCTCAGATGTTTAATTAAAGCAAGCTGACATTTCCTTTCTAATTAGGGTTGGGATAAAGAGGTAAGAGGCTTTCATATGGAAAGGCTGCAGGAGGGGAACATCCCCACAGCAGCTTTCCCCATCACTGGTGGTGACTTGGCACAAATCCACCCCTTTAAGTAATTTTGACCAAGGTTCCAGCACACTCTGAGCTGTATCCAGTGTGCAAAGGGCCCTAGGTGCCTTTTGGAGCCCAATCCCTGCAGCAGGTGTTTACCCAAGGTGTGCAGGTACCAGGGGGAGAAGGCTGAGCACTGGAGATCCCCACGGTGATGCAGTGATCCGCATACCTCTTCAAGCCCAGTGTACACATCTGACCACCAGGCTCCATTCTGGAGCAACAAGGGCAACTGGGCCACCCTCAGGGAGGGAGAAGGCATGGGGTACATTGGAGATGGGACAGAGGGGCAGTGAAACGATCTCTACAGAGCCAGAGCTGGGTCCTGCCCTGAGCTCTCTCCTGATCCCTGCCTGGATGCTGCTGCCAAGTGGTTTGACAGCTGAACTGGGCAGCCCTTTTGCTTCCCTGTGTTCCCTCTCTGTATTCTTAATATCAGAAAGCACTTGGAGAAACCCCTCTGGTTCCAGCATGAGCATGTTCTGTGGCCACTGGTTTCAGACTGGGATGGGCAAAGGTAGCAGAAGAATAAACAGCAGCAAATATTTTTGGAATAAATTCATGGTGAACTGACTTTCAAGTCTAAACAGCCAGCGTGGCTCCAGAACAGCTGAGGCAACACATCCCAGCTGCCAACACGTCTCGAGAATGCATTCCTAGGTAGGCTACCAACCTGGGAGAGAGTTGGTTTTCACTACAGATGTAACAAAGTTCCTGAGTTCCTTCAAACCTTCACAGCTTGTGATAGACAGAAGAGTTTTTTGAGCTCAAATTGTCAAACCAGAAGCAGAAACAGTTATGCTTGAGCACTCTGTCCAGCACTGGTCACAAATCATTAACATGGTGATGAGATGGGAAGGAAATATTTGATAGGAATTGCCAGGAGAAGCCATCATCTTCTCACAGAGACTATGAGGACAAAGGGCAGAGACGCCAGGTCCCAAAGACCAATTTAACTTGTTGTACAATCAGAACATCATTTCTCCAGAGTCTTGTATAAGTGTCCCACAAGCTCAGTGCACAGAGGTGAACAAAACCAACTGACAGAAACTCTGGCAGAACTATTTTCCAGCCTATCAGAGTCATCTCAGATGAATGCCTTTTTAGGAACATGGACAAGAGAAACACTTACTTGGTGTAAAATGCCACAAACTTCAGTTCGTCTAAATCTCCCTGAATTACAACATCATCAAATCCTTCCCCGTGGCCTGGAAAGCAAAGAAGAAGTATATTCAGCAGCAATTCCTCCAGATACAGCTCTAAGACAGAATGTTTCATTCCAGAAACGTCCTGCAGTGACCAAGAAACCAGAACCAGGAGATGCAGGTCCAAAAACCACAGAATCACAGGAGAGTTTTGGGTTGGAAGAGGCCTTGAAAACATCCTGTTCCCACCATCTACCATGGGCAGGGACACTTTCCACTAACCCAGGTTGCTCCAAGCTCTGTCTTAAGCTCTGGCCTTAAACACTTCCAGGGATGGGGCAGCCACAGCTTTTCTGGGGACCCTGTGCCAGGGCCTCATCATCCTCACAGGAAAGAATTTCTTCCCAATATCTAATTTAAGTCAATCCTCCATCCTGTCTGGAGAAGTGCACTTCATGACAGACGGGTTTCAGAGGAGACACTGAGCCCCCTCGGAAGCCAGGCAGGGAAGCAGCCCTGTGGCAGAGATTGGTAGGGAGGGTTCACAGTGAAGTAGGTGACCCTGGCTTCTCTGCCCCAGGACACCTCCAGCAACACAAACTCTCAGCAGCCCCAGGGAGTCCCTTACCTGCATATCGGATGCTCTTCCCGAACATGGCTGTCCACAGGTAGGGGACAGTGCTGATCTCCGTGCCGTGGGCCAGCATGTTGAGTGCGGCAATGCGGCCTGCAGGAGAGCACAGGGACAGAGGAACTGCTGCTCCAGGGCAAGATCCATGCTCGGCCCTCAGGTCACAGCATCAACACCAGCAGCCACAGAGTACAGGGAAACCAAGAACTGCTGCTGAGAAAACTCACACAGCAACAAAGCACGACACACCCAAGGATGGGCTGGGACTCCTTCCCAAGATGCAGCTCTTACTAGTCACCTCCACTGCCATGAGCCATTTACTCATGAGACTCTTTCCCCCGCAACAATCAACTGTGCAACAGTGACAGGATTGATAGTGTGCTGAGCTCCTACCCAGACAGGGATGGGATGAACAAACCCTTGGAGGGAGACTGTTGGGGTATGGTCCCTGCTGCAGAAGCGTATCTGGATATGGGGGAGTTGTCCAAAGGCTGAATTTGGAGCTGTGGTTCCAAAACCTCTCACCCAGGGCACAGGAAACCTCCCAGTGGGACTAGGGCCATGAGGGCAGCCCATCACACCAGGAGTTCCAGGCTGATGAGAAGCGAGAAGGGTCAGAGCTCTGCTGAACACTCCTGGGCCAGCCTGGCAGCATGGGAAGCCCAGCTGGGAGCTTGAGCCCAGGCTGGCATTAGGATGTGAGCTCCTAAGTGTCCCGGGGCAAGGAGTAGAGCAGGCTCCCTCAGCAGTGCCAGGAAGCAAAGGGAATATGGGAAGGCCTATCCCTGGGCTCCTCTGTGCTGGTGATGAGGCATTGTTAGACAAAGCTTGGCAAGAATGCTGATGAAGGCACAACAGACAGCATAAGATAGGCACGCTTCAAAACGTTCAATACAGCTACCCAGTCTCTCTGTTGGCAGTTGTCTGGAGGGTTTGGAAATTTCCTGAGAATCTGGAAAAGGCTCTTTTCTGCAAAGTACCTACCATGCATATGGGCCATCTGCCAGTGGGGGACATTCACCTTCTTGTTATTCCTCAAGGCCAATGGAAATGTGACAGCATCTCCAGCAGCAAAGACCCCTGGGATGTTGGTCTGCATCATCTGCAGGGGGGAAGAGAGGTGGGCATTAATGAGGTTTGCACCCTACATTAACAGAAACTCCAGAGCTGGAGTGGTCCAGAGCTGCCACAATCCCTCAGAACACAGGGAAAACTCTGCTGGCTGTGGGAGAGCCCCAGGGGAAATTTCACCCAGCCTCTTCTTCACTTCCAAATGAGAACACACATGCAGGGACCTACAGTATCCCTTGGCCAGTGGGTTATCCAGTAAAAAGAGACACAGACTGGTGTACTGGAGCCCCTCTCAGAAGTCTGGGGTTTGCTGGTGTTTGCAGATAGAGCTCAGCTTACTGCAAGGATGAGCACTGCATGGCACTGAGCCCCAGCCTCCCGAAACGCTCCTTTGCCCAAGGCACCAACAGCCACCAGCTCCAACACTGTTCCCATCACAGTCACTGGTGCTGGGGAGAAAGAATGAGATCCTTTGGTATCCATCTCATTTTTTCCCCTCTAAATATCCATAACACTCCAGAACAACTCAGAGCCAGAGCATCCAGGTCTGGGGTCCCAGGCACTCCTGGTGATGCTCCTAGAATCTCATCATCTCACACAACATCCTAAGATGAAAGGCAACCACAAAGGTCATCGAGTTCAATTCCTGGCCCTACACAGGCCAACCCAAAGAATTCCAAAATTCCAATTCTGCCAATCTTGGCAGATTAAATGCCATGAAAAGCCCCCGTGGCAGAAGTTTGGAGCCCCAGGGAAGTTCATCCATCAGAAGAGCTGACCCAGCTCCTCCTGCTCTCCCTCCTGCAGGGGCTGCCCCTGGGCTCACCTTGTTGACCACGATGAAGCCCTTGGAGTCGATGTTGATGCCACTCTGCTTGAGGAAGCCTGTTGCTGGGACTGCACCTGGGGGGAAACCCAAAGGTTGCTGCTGCAGTGTCCAGTGTTCCACAGTCCTAGGGGCTGATCCTGAAGCCTTTCCTCCTGCCAGGACAGTGAAGCTACCCCCAGGAACAGGCAGCAGCTCCTCTGGGAGTGTAGAGCAGGGCCAGGTACCCTACAGAGTCCCTCCTGCATCAGCCTCTGGCCCCTCAGGGTCCCTGTCCTGCCCAAGCCATCAGTGTAACCTGCCCACTGCCCTTTTCTAGTGCTTAGAGATGGTTTTTGATTTAATTCTCTTTTATAGATATTTTGAAAAAAATATATTTAAAAGGGAACCTTCAAGTTTCCAGCCAGGGCTCCTCAGCCTCCCCCCAGTCTGTACATTTCTTTCACCTTCCTTCTCTTTCTTTCATCTTTTTTTTACCTCCAGCCTTTTCATAAATCAGAGTAGTCAATAGAAACAACAAAACCAGATTTAAATTAATTCTGTGATTCTTTGAGTCCACAACATTTTGAAGAGGAAAGGAAATTTTTTCTCCCTAAATGTAAAGGAGAAAAATATCATATTCTATGGGGTATTTTATTTTATAGTATGGACACATTTTTTATTGCTGTCAGCAGCAATTAAAAAAAAACACACTAAAAATGTTGTCTTGGGGAAGTTTTAATAAAAAACAACTTAAGAGGATGAAACTGCTTGAAATGTTTTGGGTTTTTTTTCTGGAAAAAAAATAATTACTTTCAAAATATATTTTCAGTTGCATTTTGTGGTGGGGGCTCTAGAAACACCTTTTTTAGATATGCAGACTCATGTGTGGCAGTCCAGTAGGGCTGGCAGATCACTGCCAGTAACCCGGGCCACCCAGCCCCAGGAACCTGCTGCTGTCACATCCCCTCCAGCTTCTTCTCTGCCCTCCCTCCCTGGCTCTACACCCACACAACCCTTACCAACACCCACGACACAGACGTCAGCACGCAGGACCTTCCCACTCTTCAGCACGACCTCCTTCAGCTGCAGGAGACACAGGGGGCACACCAGAGTTATTTTAGGGACAAAACCCCTCTATAGCAGCAGGAAGCCAATCTGGCAGCTCACCTGCTTTGTGAAATGCAATTGACTATAACTCCTTAGAAAATCAGCAGGAGGTGAGCGGGAGCAATGAAACCACCCCACACACCACACTGGCATACATTTGTTCCTGGAGGCCAAACCCAGGAGCATGAATTTCAGGGGACAGGAAAGAGGGGAGAGCAAAACCCCACTAGCAAAGGGAATGGTAGCTCTGGGGGATGTTCTGCCGGGGAGTCCCTGCCCACCACTTACCTTCCCCTCCTGCTCCCGCAGCTCCGACACCTCTGTCTGCATGTAGAACTTCACCCTGTTGTTCTCGAACATCTGGAGGGGGGACAAGGGACAGAGCAGGGGACATCAGGACCCTGAACCACCCTGGTCTTGATGTCCTGCTGCCCCCAGCACTGCCTCGTCCTCCCTGCAGGCTTGTCTCGATCTGCACTGCTAAGGGGGTCAGCATCCCCACATCTCCAACACGGCTCTAGAAGAAGGTGCTCCATAGCACATGGAGCATAACAGGGAAAACACAGCCCATTCTCACTGACTGCTGCCATCACAGCTTTGTCAATAAATGTGAAGTAAATTAATTAGTGCTGTGGGAGGATAGTTTGTAAACTGATTTCCAAGGAGTGGAAACAGCATTGCCGATGAGGATGGGTGTTATAGAAGAGTGGGTTAGCGGAACTGGAGATGGAGTCTGCCGGCCATGCAGTGAGAAGGAAGGGTCATGCGGTCACACAAGGGACAGACAGGGTTAGATGGCTGTGTAAGGGACAGGATTGAATTAGACAGTCATGCAGAAGGGAGAAGGAGGGAAGGAGTCAGTGCTGTGTGGAGTTACCCGTGGGAAACTCACAGAGAGAAGGCATGAGGAGTCTTTAAGATAGTAAGGGACTGACACTGGTGTCAGTCATGCCTCCACTGTCATAGTGCAATAAGTGAAACAAGCAAAACCTGCTCTGTTACCAGCACCCCCAGATGGGAAAGCAAGGTCACCTTCATGACAGCACGGCCAACCCTCTCCCCAAAGAACTTCTTGAAGGGGACATGCTCCAGCTCCACCAGAGACACCGAGTGGGCCCTCTCTGCGAGGTAGGCAGCCACCTCCATCCCTGGGGAAGAGAGGCAGGTCCAAGCAGCCACATTAACCCACCCAGCACTGCCCGGTGTCCCTGGCTGCAGATGAGGAGCAGCCACACCCACTCTGACTGGGGAGGCTGGTGCTGCACTCCTGGGAGAACTAGGGAGCCACCAGACACCAGGGATCACACCAATTCAGGTGTTCTTAGATGTAGGTTTTAAAAACCAGAGGGAGGAACTGGACATGAAATCCCAAAGTGCCCTGAGAAAAACATAGAACAAGGGACTTCAGCCAAGGGAAACCTTCCTCCTGTGGCTGGGACAACCTCAGTTGTGGTCTAAAAACAGTTCTTGGGAGTAGCTGTTTTCACCCATCAGAATGGTAGAATTTTGGTGCTGGGAGTTGCATGGGAACCTCCACCAAGGCATCTTCTGTCTGTGGGGGTTTTTAGAAATGAATCTTTTTGATGACCTGCAGTTTGCAATTGGCCCCCCACACCACATGCTTTTCTGTAGATCATATTGATTCAACCATTAAAACAAGTTTATCTTTTATAAAAGAAGAAAAATAAATAATGAACATTTTATATAAATTCTCTGACTAATAACCATTTATGTTTAAGGCTTGCAAGACCCACTCTTTATTTTGTTAGGACCCACAATAATTTTGTTGGAACCATATCAAGCAAAAAGAAGAGCTATCAAAGAAACAACAAGATTTTTCTTGTGCATTTAAAAAATTCACCACACTGCTAAAATGTAAAAGAGAATAAGCCCACAGGTTCCCACCCACCAACATGACTCTTCTGACTGAAGCCAACTCCAGACATATCAGATTTGGAGCCACATGAGCACCAGTACTTGTCTTGCCATGTGCTTTTCAGACTGGGACAGCAATATCTGTGTCCATGCCAGTCCAGCCTCTTTGAAAAATCAATTTCTTTGGCATGGAAATGTCCTTACACACACCTGGGGCTGGAGGTTGGACTAACCCAGGTCCAATTTTGTGGGGGTATTACCTCTAACTAGGCAAGGGACTTTAGCCATCTGCAGGCAGAGGTGGATAGCTGGGACAGGGGCCAGGCAGGCACTCACCCAGGAAGGATGCTCCCACGATCACCACATTCTTGCTCGTGGCCAGCTTCACCACACGATTGGCATCTTCAGGCGTGCGGATGTTGAAAACGTTTTCCATCTCCTTTCCTTTGCAGCTGAGAGTTTTGGGCCTGAAAAACACTGAGGGTGATACAGCTGCTTTTCTCAGCTCTGTGTGGTTCAATGCCCAGTCAGGGCTGCAGACATCCCTTCCGGGGTTCCAAGAACATTTCCAACTTTCCTTTTTTCACCTTTCTCTAGCCTGGAGACATAACCTGGAAAAACCTAGATGCTGGTGGCCAGTGGTGGAGCAGGGGATGCTGAGCAGCCACCCCAGACCCCACCGTGGACTCGTGTACCCACAGGTCCAGGGGACCTCCTCCCTGGAGCTCCCTGCGAGCACAGGACAGGCATTGCTTTACAAGGCCAAGTTAGATGGGGCTTGGAGCAACTTGGTCTAGGGGAAAGTGTTCCCTGGACACATCCACTACATGGATGCATATTCATAACATACAGGATGAATTTTAAGTTCCCTTCCAACAGAAACCATTCTGTGATTCTATAATATATGATGTAGATATATATGAAATAGATAGATGATGATGCATAGATGTAGATACATACAGACATTCCCAATATCTTTTGTGTTCCTTGACTTTTCCATACTCAAACAAATTCAGTGTTCAAATTCACCTGCCACATTTCATCCCTTATACCCAGGCACAAGCTCCTCACATTCTCAGATAAAACAGTTTCTCTTGCTCTTTAAGACGTTTGTCTGAAGCTTACGTGTTTCCCGTTGCTATCAGCAGCTTGTTGTATTCCATCTTAAACCCATCCTTGAACACAGCTATCTTGCTCTTGACATCCACAGCCGCCACCTAAAATCATTCCTAAATAATGTTAAGGGAAGAAATCCCAGATTTTCACCATGGTCCCAGCCCAATCAACTTGTCTGTCAGGTTTTAGTCCTCCATGTTAGTTTTAATTAGTTAGATAGCTGCTTTTAGTTAGTCTGTTAGTTTTAGTCCTCCCTGTCCACAGCTTGGCTAACCCATACCTTAAATATTCCTAGTTACCTTTTCACAAATCCTTGAAGGTCTCCCAGTATAAATAAGATAATGGGGAAATATATTTAAGCCATCATTGTCTGCACTGTTTGAAGGCCGATTATCCTTATCAGATGGTGCCTGGTTCCCCAGATCCACATGAGGAATGGCAGGTAACACAGATGGCCACACCGTGGTCATGCCCAGGGTGCCCTTTCTGCCACAGGAGCATTGCATTAGCTGTGTTTTGTACAACCACAGGCAACCTGCACTCTGGGGCCAAAAAAGGGGGCTTGGGAGAGACCCAACATTCACACAGTGGCATCCAGTGAGCCAAAAACAGAGAGAGCAGCCACACCCCCGAAATACAGCCTTTGCATACCAGCACTTTCCTTCAGGCACACACAAGACTCTCCTTACCTGCATTTCAGTCAGGACTTCGATGTCATAGGTGCAGAAGAACTCCTTGGGGCGCAGGGCGATCTGCTCAGGGTGGGAATCCATTGACTGCAAAAAAAAGTCATTTCTCTGTCAGCTGCTGTGGGTTGAACAGGTGAGGGGAGAAACAGCTGCTACCAGCACAAGTCAGCACTTGTTGCATGGGTTAAGAGAATGGCTCAACAGGGCTGGAATGAAAGCCTGTTCAAATAGGAGTCGTCACAAGAGGCTGGTCTGGGCTCTGGTGCCTTCTCTGCCAATTCAGTGTGGGGCTGGTGTGGAGTTGCTCAAGCAGGACCACAGCAAGTGCTTTGGAGTGTCACCAAAGCAGACATAACTGCAGCCTCTCCCAGCATGCACAGGCTCACAGGAGCAAGAGAAAACCTCATTTTACAACACAGGTGCCAAGGCCCTGGAACAGGTTGCCCAGGGACGCAAGCCCCATCCCTGAAACTGCTGACTGGAGCAAAACCCGGTCTAGTGAAAGGAGTCCCTGCCACAGCAGGGGGTGGCATGGTGTTGCCCTGGAGTTTTTGGCCTTCTGATGTTGACACATTCTTTTTACACTTTCTCATACTCTTTCTGATAAACAGAATTGTTTTGCATTCCTCTTTGGAGGAAGTGAGCATTGAAGGACAGGTGATGAGGCCTGTGGAGTCAGAGGTCTTATCATCACTGTCCAATCCGTGCTCATTGTTAGATTTCCATAAATAGATATGTTATGTAAATAAAGAGGTCCTTTTCCTGCTAGACCAACTTGGAGTCAGGTGTGTGAGTCTCTCTTTCTGTGTGCGTCACAAGGACTACAGCATGGGATGACCTTTACAAGTTCCTTCCAATTCAAACCACCCTATGATTACTTGGAAAATAGCCAGTTACCAGGGCAAATGGAAGCTAGAAGAGTAGTAAGAACAAGCAACATTAACACACAAGGACACACTTTCAAAAGCACCCAAGTTATGCTGCACAAGTTCCACCCAATGCAGAAGCAAGGGGGTGGGGCCATTATCTGCACATCTTCAGCTGCAAGATAAAGAAAGGTTCTCGCTTTTCCCAGCCTTCCCTAATCACTAGGGTGAGATGTACATCTTCTTTCCACAAAGGGTTGAGCCTGAGCTCATCTATCCTCCTGACTCTGTTGACACAAGCTCAGACTCAGGCTGAGGACAAGCTGAGCATCAAGTGACCTGCCGGGTGTGCAGGCTGCTCCCTGCATGTTTACTGCCTGCAGCACAGCAGAAACAGGCACAGATGCCATGGTCAACCCTGCTATAGATCAGCACACTGCTCAACAGCAGCATCTATCTACTCATGGCACACAGGGATAATGTTTGGGCTTGACCCAGGAGCGACAAGGAATGCAGGAGACAAGGATTTCCTATTCACCCATGGAGATGGATGTGCAAGATCCTTCTCCCTGGAGGTGGCCTGGCCAGGGGCTGGAATGAGCCCAACAAGAAACTCCCTTACTCTGACTTCAGAGTAAGAATGCTCTGCTCAGGAGAGACTGCTGTCACAGGACTCGAGCAGGGGCAGGGTCATACAGGTTTTACTGAAATTCTTTGAATACTCCACATTTACAGAGAGAAACACCTGACCCCCAGTGACGGTGTGCAGGGAGGGCAAAGCAGAAGAGTGCACAACCATCACGGCTTTTGCTGTTGCTTGTCTGGGGACAGTAACAGAGATGTGGCAACACAGAGAGCGTAGGTTGTGGTCCAAAGGGGACAAAGGGAAACAGCCTGGCAGGACCTGGGGACAGACTGGTAACAGGAGTTCAGCAAGGCAGAGGAAGGGCTGTGCTGCAGTTTCAGGGAGCAAGAGCTCTGCTGCTTACAGAGTTAGCACTTCTTCTCCAGTGGCTTGTACAGGTTTAGTTCCACTCACAACATGATTAAGAAAAATTCCATTTTTTTCCTACCCTCTTCCCAAAAATTCTGCCTTCCCTTCTATGGGCTTCGCGCACCTTCCAAATGCAACTACAGCCAGAAGTGTTTAGTGGAGGATTTAACAAACCATGTACAGCATCTCTGGCATGTGAAATGTTCTTATTATTTAAGAGAGAGAAGAAGAGCCAGTCTAACACTCAAATATGGGAATAAGTGTTTGGAAGAGCTATCTGGCTAGGACAGGGACCCTCAGATTCTCCAAGCTCCCCAGAACAACCCCTGTGGTGCTTGGATGCAAGTATCAGGAAGCTGCTCCTCACCCCAGGCAGGACTTGCAGAAGCACAGAAATGGCCTGAATGCTCCCAAACAACCATGTGCATGTCTGTCTGGCTTTGAAAATCCTTTTTTTGGGTGCTAGAAGCAGAGTTAGATACTGTGATTGTAGTAGTCTCCATGGGTAAGCATTCCTGACATGAGGATGAACACATAATTCACCTTATGTTATCTCCAAGCTCCGAGGTCAAACGCTGCTGTCCAATTTGAGCTGCTGTCTGACATCAAAGAAGGCTCAGGAGTCAGCAGCAAGAAAATCTGAATAAAGATCCTCCTGCGTCTATAAACTGGAATGCAAAATGGGATGTGTGCCAGAAAAAGTGACCTTTGCACTTCCATCAAGTTATCAACTTGTGATGATGGCTGAGAATCATCATAATAAGGGCACAGACCATCCCTGGGCAGCAAGAAACAGGCACTAATAAAAACCCCCAACACCATTTTTTCACATGCTCCATTTCATTGCCTTAAAGATTTTGATACAGAAACACTTTAAGAAGACCCACCCAGGTACAAGCTGGCTAAGACAGCTACCATTAGATCTGTGAAGAATCATCATATGACTTGCGGAATGGTTTAGGTTGCAAGGGACTAAAGGCTCATCTTGTTTCTATTTTCAGGGATACCTTCCACTAGACCAGGTTGCTCCAAACCCTGTCCAGCCTGGCCCTGGATGCTTCCAGGGATCCAGAGGCCACCACAGCTTCTCTGGCAACCTGTGCCATGGCCTCACCACCCACACAAGGATGAATGCCCTTGTTTTTCTGCTGGAGTGCTTTTAATTCAGTTTGAACAACTCCTTTTTTCGTGTTTCATATTTCAGTCAAAAAAAAGAAAGAAAATTCAAGGGAAATAGAGTCAGGATGACTAAGGAAACAGAATCTTGATGATGCAATGAATAATAGTGGGGAAAAGTCCTAGAGCAAATTTTAAAACTGGAGAGGAATGTGGCATGCCCAGAGTGATACAAACCTTACTGAGCTTTGGTCTGTCATAGGGCAAGTGTCTGTCCATGGTGCACATCACAATCCGGTCAGAGAAACCCTCCTGGCGCAAGGTCTCTGCACAGACCAGCCCGGCTGCCCCTAAGGGAGAAGGAGACCAGTGACAGCCGTGTGTATGTGGTCTTGGGACATCTGTGCCCTTTACTGCAAAACTTGCTGGGGCTGACTCCAAAACCAGCACCTCCATCAGCCCTTGCCTCACTTCACAATCTTTCCTGACTCAAACTGCTCACATGGGAAGCCAGTGGCAGATGCACAAAGCACGAGAAGGGATGCTCTGTCTATGGACTGTGATATAAATCCTCTTGTGTTCCTAAACTGTCACAAACCCACAAAGAGCACACGTGAGGAGTGCTGCTAATGCCTACACACCTCTAACAGACTCCAGGGGACAAGCAGCCGCTCAGACTCTTGGACTTCTTTATTCAAGGGTCTGCACAACCTGCTCCTGGTGCGTTTATGGCCAAGCACGGAGAGCAGAGAGTCCTCCCTTCTCCATGGCCCAGGTGTTGGTCGTGTGACTCACTACAGAGCATTTTCCATGCTATTTCTTTAAAGGTTTTTTATTCACTTGTTTCAATCTCAGGAAAAAAAAAAAAAAAAATATGTTAACCAAACGAAAAGCTGCCTTGGGACATGCTCACTGCAACCAGGCAGCCTGGCTGTCACGTCTCTATTTCCTTATTTCCTTGATTGAACTGGTAAGACTGGAGAGCTCAGGTGAGAAGTCTGGAGCCTCACTCCTTGGTAAGTGTTTTCAGGGCTACAGATTCTGTAACACCACTGAGAGAAGATGGACCTGGACCATATCATGATTTGGTCCCTCAACAAGACACTCCCACTGATGGAGCTGGGGGACAGTGGAAGAAGAGACAGGCAGGTGGACATCCTGTGCATGCTGCCAGGAGCATCCTGAGCCAGAGCTGATGCTGTGCTGATGTCAGGATGACCCTCACATGAGCAAGGGACAGCAGTCAATTGCTCTCAGCTCTGCTGGGCATGGCTGGATCTCAGTCCCTGACATAGGGCTGGATGGGCAGTCTTTCCACAACACTTCTTCCTCACAAATCCAGCTTTGAAATCTCCTTTGGTGTCCACTAGAATAGACTCTGGTCTTTAACAGATCTGTAAATTTATCTGGTAAAACCTGAGGAAGTTTCCTCAGCAGTGGCAAATATTATCCATGGAGTGACCTTGCTGAGGATTGTGATGACTGTCCAGACCTCCTGCACACCAGGACATTCCCTTATCCCAGGAAGGAGAGGAGAGGAGAGGAGAGGAGAGGAGAGGAGAGGAG